GGGGGGTATTTAAATTTATGGCACTTAGCTTAGGAAAATGTAAGAGATCTTAGAGAGTTCTTGTCCTATATCCTTCTTGTTACAGATGTGGACTCTGTGTCTAACGTCAGATGGCCTCCAGAGAACTCAGGCCACGTGGGCGAGAGCTAGGGTGAAGTCCACAGTCTTGTCCTGTGGCCTGGTGCCGTGTCCACTACAACATGGCATGGCCACACACACCCTTAATGGCAGGGAGAGAACCCACTATTATAGAGCCTCTCTCTGGGACTTAGCACATTTCATCATATAAAGTCCTAATGTAGATGTTAAAAAAATCACCAAAATCTGGAAGAAAAAATGGCATTTCTAAATACTTACATTTTCTTTTTTCTTCATCTTACCACTAACAAGTACTGTTTTAAAAATTCTTTTCAATTTCTAGAATGGCATTTAAACCAATACATATGATTTACTCAAGACACTAAAGGTTTTCATCAAATAGCCATCAAGACCATAAAAGTTTTTTCCTTCTATGGAGTCAATCAGCACCTCCTTACCAGGGCCCAGCATAGTACACATTTCAAAGAGGACCCTGAATTTCAAAGTAACCAAAAAGTCATGGATACTACTCCTTCCCTTCCCCATCAGGAAAACAAAACAAAACAACACTGGGAATGTTTCCATTTTAGGTTTGTTTTTTTTTTTCCAGCTATGCTTTAATGTCTTTGAAACATATCAAAACATCATCAAAACAAAAATGGAAGAATTTCCTTAAGAGCCTTCCACAACAGATTTGTATTTTAAAAAATAATTATACTATATATATTTATAGATGCAGTTCTAGTTTTTAAGATATGAGTTTGTTGTACATCTGAAACTAATACCATGTTATATGTCAATCATTCCTCAATTTTAAAAAAAAAGAATGAGCAGGAAAAAATAATTTGGTCATTTCGTGTATTCACCTTCTGTAGGGCTTCTATTCTAGCGAGGCAGAGACAGATGAGCAAATAAACAAAGAGATATATAATATCTCAGGTGGTGTCAAATGCTAACGGAGGGGGGAAAAAAAGGAGGGTAAAGAACAGACAGGGAAGGAAAGGGTGCTATTTTATCTCTGGTAGTTAGAGAGGGTCTCTCTGATAAAGTGACATCTGAGCAGAATCGTGGAAAAAAAGTGGGACTAGCCAAAAGCAAATACGGGGATGAGAGGGAACGTTCCAGGCAGGGAAGAAGTTCAGTCCAAAGGTCCAGAGTGGGAGCTTGCTTGGAAGGTTTGAGGAAAGCAGGGAGACAGGACAGTGGGGGTGGACAGAGAATGGGAGGAAACGAGCTTAGGGTAGCAGCCAGGGCCCAGAGCAGGTGAGGGCCTTGTAGGCAATGATGAGGATCTGGGTTATATTCAGCAGAATATTCAGCGGAAGAATGACATGATCTGACTTACGTTTCAGAAAGCTCCTTCTGGCCGCCAGGGGGGAGAACAGAGCGGGGCAGAGGGTAGGCAGCGTGGGATGACAAGAGCAGAAGCAGGAAAACAGTCCGGTGGCTACTATGAGGATCCGAGGCAGAGGGGGTCCCAAGCGCTAGGATTCTGGATGCATTTTTCCTGGTAGAGCTGACAAGATTTGCTAATGGGTTGGAGGAGGGTGTGAGTAAAGGATAGGAGCCAAGGATGACTCCACAGAGTTTGACCTCAGGACCTGGACAGCTGCAGTTGTCCCTTAGCAAACTGGGGACCTGAGAAAGAACAGGTTGCTGGGGGGAAGGAGGGGAGTAGGGATATTGTTTTGAACATATTAGGTTTGGTATGTCACTAATCATCTGAATACAGACATAAGGTGCCAATTGATAGAATGTGCCTTGCTTCCCTTAAAATAAATAGATATTGAGGTATAAAGCAAAGGTAAAGATGTGCCAGTAAGTGTTATAATGGTCATCCAAGTAATGGTGTACCCACAAGATATCTGTATTAATTCAAAAAGATTTTGGACTACATGGGAGTATGCTCCTAATTCTATTTTCCAAAATAGGGAATATCACTAAGAGCAGAGCATCTTGGCCCCGTAGCAGGGGGATGAGCACGACAAGGCATCTTTAAAGGCATTTTATAAGACATTATTTAAGCTCCTGAGACACCGCCTTCCTGCCAGAAATCTCGCCCCCGCCCATCGCCCCGCCACTACCTTCCATGGAGTCTGAAATTCCTCCATTTTAAAAACGTAATTATTCCCTATTAATGTGTTACTCTTACATTCTGCCATAACTGTAAGAATATTTATGTATACCATCTTTCAATGGAGACATTTTCTCATTCAGTTTGGCAGGGTATAGGGTCCTTTTGCTAAAAATAATTAGAAAAAAGAAGATGTGGCTTAGGAAGAGAAAGAAGGGATAACCTAACAACAGTGGGTTTTCACAGTGCAGTGCTAGAGGTGGAGAATGGAGGGAGTCCACAGGTGCTGAGGGACCAGACACATCTGGGAGGGGGGGTCTGAATTCTCCTTCTCTATGCAGGTTCTTCCAGGCCCTTCTCATCGCCTCCTCCCACAGCTGTAACCTGTGTAGCCTTCCCTCTGAATTCTGACTGCCTACTCGACACCTCCATTTGAACATCTCACTGACACATCATTTCAGTGTTCTGTTCTCTCTCTCAAAGGCGTTCTTCTCCCAAAGCCCCCTTGGCCTAGTTAACAGCATTGAGCATTGGCATTTTGGCTCAAATCTTCCTTCCCCAGGAAGGCTTCCCTAACATCAAGGCCAGATGGAATTCCCCTGTTATACATCTTGTAGCCCCCATGCTCTCCCCTCACGGCACTTACTCTGTTCTTAATTATATATTAGTTGGGTCAGTATCTGTTTAATGTCAGGGTCCCCCACCAAACTCTAAGCCCCTTAGAGCAGATGCGCATCTCTTTTGCTCGTTGCTATTTGCATCGCCGGATTCCGGCTCTTGGCTGGTGTACAAAGAGCACTCAATTAACATTTGGTGAATAAATGAATGAAGGCTGTGTTGGGTGTACAGAGATGCAGGAGAAGGGTCACTGCTAAGGCAAAGTCTCTAAGGTACATTGCATCAACTCCAAAATGCTGGACTGAGTAAAGTTGACTAAGATGGATTGAAATTTCTTCTTGTATTTGCTTTGGGTTTTGTTCATCTCATCAAGCATTGTCATTATTCTGTACCTCCAGAACCACAGAGGACACTGAAGGGAGAAATCCATAACCCCAAATCCAAAATCAAAAAACTCAAGAAGTTACTGAACCCTTTGCTAGAAGAGCAGTCACAGAAAGGGGAGACCACCCATGTCTATCTCATCTACAGGAGAGCAAAACTAATTGACAAATTCTTCACTAGAATCGTAGAGAAAGGAGATCTTTTAAAACTTTGTAGTAAGGAGGGATCTTAAAAAGAAAAAAAAGTAAACTCATAAAACAGTAGAAAAGTGGCTGCCAGGGGCTGGGGGGTGGGGGAAAAAGGGAGAAGTTGGGAAGGGATACAAACGTTGAGCTGTAAGATGAATAAGCTCTGAGGATCTAACGTATAACGTGGTTATAATGGTTGACAACACTGTATTGTCTAGTTGAAATCTGCTAGGAGAGTAGAACGTGAATGTTCTCTCACACACGAATAGAAGATAACTATGTGAGGTGATGGATGTGCTAATTAACTAGATGGGGGGGAGGTCCCTTCACAACGTGCTCATATATCAGATCATCCCAATGGACACTTCCGATAACTTAAATTTTATATGCTAATTGTACCTCAGTGAATCTGAAACATAAAAGAAAAAAAAAAACTTTCTACCAGGCTAAGGCCAGCCTAAAGGCATAATTTAAGATGTACAGGATGTAATTGATTTTAACCTCCTAAGTGCTTTATTCGAACGAATGGAAAAAACAATCACACAACTGCAAGAGTTTTCATGGTCTCATCTGGTCTTCAGTCACTTTACTTTCTCTCCAACCACCCCTACCCCCCGTGTTAAGTTGCTCAACATCAAAATTGCCTGCCTTAGGGATTTATTTCAGCAATACGACCTCTGCGGTTGAAAAGGAAATTCAGGATTCCAGTAGTTCTTATGCGCTTCTGGCCCCTTACCCCACTGCCCATGGCACTAAAATGTACCCGCACCGTAGTCTTAAATGTCAATAAGACCTTTATCCACAGGATTCGTTTAACATCCAAAACAATTTCAACTAAAAAATCTAGACCTAATCCACTAGCTTGGATGCAGAAAACAGAAGAGAGGATGACTACAGGAAATATAGGGAAGATTATTAACAATCAACAGTATTTTCCACTTAAAAAAAAAAAATCTCATATCTCAAGTATCACATCCAATTTGTTTTAGGCAAGATCTAGCTCTGTCTGCAAATGTATATCGATACTGTAATGCACACAAATTCATAGCAACCCCTCTTAGCCACTCAAATATAACTGTAAGATGGATTTTCCTTAATGGAAATCAGATACAAACTCCACAGAACTCCAGTGTCCACTCAGGCTGCGTACGTCCATCACAGCCAACTGTGAAACAGATTCATGTAGCAGGTCCCAAGACCCTTTTGTCATTAAAAATCCATTGGTGGTGAAAATAGGGAAGGGGCGCCTGGGTGGCTCAGTTGGTTGGGCGACTGCCTTCGGCTCAGGTCATGATCCTGAAGTCCTGGGATCGAGTCCCGCATCGGGCTCCCTGCTCAGCAGGGAGCCTGCTTCTCACTCTGATCCTCCCCCCTCTCATGCTCTCTCTGTCTCATGCTCTCTCTCAAATAAATAAATAAAATCTTTAAAAAAAAAAGAAAAAGAAAAAAAGAAAATAGGGAAGTAAGACAGGAAAAACAAACATGCAGGAATGCAAATTAGTAGTTTAAAAGAAAAGGACTCAACTTTCTAAACAGAATTTAAAATTTTCAAATACACCCAGGCTATGTGTTTGTGCAAAGGTGAAGAATGTTAGACGCACTTGTGACATATTTACAAAATGAATTATCGTTCTCTGAGACTGGTTAATGTTTGCTACCTCCTTCGTCCGACGGTCTGGTTACCTCACTGCAGCATGAAAAGCTAGGGTAAATCTCGGATATTTCTGATTTGTCATCTCCCAGACCTGTACCAAAAGTGCTGCTCGAGTGAGATCGAGAACGGTGTCTCCTATAGTGATTCGCCTTTTCTATATTGGAGGGAAAATTTTCACATTTGTGATTAAGTGACTTGAAGAACAAAAAAAAAAAAAGAAGAAAGAAAAAAAGAAGAGAAAAATTACTTAAAAGTTTAACAAGGAAGAAAAACAGTTTCTTACTAAATAAAAATGCCAAAGCTCAACTATTATAAGCTCTAGTCACCTACTACCAAAGGTCAGCATACATTGCTGAACGATCGTTTACACTCATTGTAAGTCTAGATTTTAAAGGAGAAATGGGGGATGGGAAATGGACAAGAACTAAGAAAACACTGGCAAACTAAAATATTTCTATCAAACGTAACATCTGGTTAGATATAATCGCTTTCAAGAATCCCCAAGCATACAGCATTTGTTGCCTTTTCTTTGTCTTCCGAAAATTTAATGACAATTTGGCTGATTATGTGGATCAAACTGACTACAAAAGTATTCGAGTCCCTACTTTGCCGTGGGCTTTCAATTTCATTAATGTCAGTAATGAAATGTAGAGTATAAATCAGGGGACAGAGTCAGACCCAAACGATATGATACATCTATTTATATTGTTTAAAATAATTGCATAACTGTCAAAGCTTCAGTTTGTTAAACACTATCTGAAAGTCTGAAATGTCAAACCATCGCTATCACGGTACCCAAACAACCAAACCATTCAGGTTTTGCTTTTAGTTAGAAACATGCAGTCTAAATTAAAAGTCAAATAAACTTGCATATCTATACACTGTAAATTTTGCATTATACAAACACTCAGACATACATTTTAAAGGTACCTAAAAGTCTGTCTTATTTTAACACGTTCATGATGCTATATAGAAAACCTCCCTGCTGTTTTATATATAAATCTTAACATCTACCTTTAAAATGTTGGAACAGTGTTTTCCATGAAACAAACCTGTATGTCTCAGCACTTTAGTGCAGTCCAAATAACTGCATTTGAAAGCCCAGAAAACCTATAAAATCACATTCACTAATGAAAAGCAGACATCAGGAATCTCTGGACACCTTTCTAAGTGAATCTAGAACAAACGAATCTAAGATACATTAAAAATTGCCTTTGGAAAGTTTGTTTTCATAAATGATTAATGGTATTTTAAAGCTGCATAGCATTTTTTTTTTTTTTTTGGTTTTTCAAATCCTCAACTTTAAAATTTACATCACACAGTTGGTACCATGAGCTTCTACCGCTTAGAGTAGCTTCACTCTCAGGACAAAACCACGTAAATGGGGAGAAACTCAAAATGTAAGCAGTACCAGAGAGCATATGGAGACTTCTAGACTGAATATTGTCTTCCAGGGGATCAAGGTCGAAGATGGAGCCAGGATCTGTACGCCAAACTTTGAGGTCTTTTACCAAAAAGAAGAAATCAACAAATCAAGAATGAATTTTAAAAAGTCAGCATCAGAGTCAAGTGCAAGTCTGGAAAAAGATGCATGTAATCAGCAAACCAGTAACAAGCCCTGCAGACTTCAGAGGAGAACAAAGGGACAGTCACCTTCACAAGGATTTAGCAAGAAAACTTTGTGAGCAAACTTCAGTTGCCTGGTTTATTCTTTGTTGACCTTCCATCTGGAGCCTGTGACTCATCACCCAAGACACCGGACAACTCCCCGCCTCCCTGAACACTCGTGCTCTCTACACACTGGAAGAGGTACAATGTTTGATTTAAACTCCCGATCAAGGACACGTGAGTAATTCATAGGAAGTGACTGAGAGGTTTTTGTCTGAGAAAACAAAGAACAAAAACTTCTCTCCCCGAAACAAGTGTTTGAAATGTAGGTAAGTGGCAAGCCCACCTTTCATTGGGAGCCCGTGAGTACAAGCTAACCCACACAAGACACATTTACTGGAAAAGTGCAATAAAGCACAGCACTGATCAAGGAATGGTGAGGGATGGAAAGATGAGCAAGGAGCAGCTTCCAGCTCTCAAGGGACCAGAGACGCGTTCACTGCCATACTTAGCAATCAGACCGAGCAAGCCAATTCACTCTCCTATCTGAGTTGGAGGCAAAATTCAAATACAGTAACTTCCAGGTTTACCCGTGTCTCCAGCTAATGGTGCTCAGGTCCTAAAATGATCTGCACAGTGCAGTATTCACAACAGGAGAGTGAAAAATCTAGCTATGGACAGAAATGGAGCTTGAGTAAAAACAATTAATTAATGAGCTGGAAGTGGAGCTCTGAGTATCTGTAATTTGTATTATGTGCTGGGCACTACCGTCCATCACAACATAAGTCACTTATGCTTCATGCCATATTTAAGTAGGAACTATTACCATCCCCGTTTTATAAATGGGGAAACTAAGGCATAGAGAGATCAAGTTAGCCGGGCCATTGTTACACAACTAGTAAATAGCAGAGCCTCCAGCAAAAATCAAAGCGGCACAAATTGGCTTAGTCTGAACTGCTCAGGAAATCTCCAAACCTGCATTTCCCTGCCTGGCTCAGAAGTTCGCTTATTGAACGTACTTCATTTTTCGGCTTCAGAGGAAAGTCCTCAATGGAAAACAGTCTCCCCCAATAAGAAGAAATAAAGTGACTTCCAGATTACCCAATAAGGGAATAATTTAGAGACATATATGTTGAAGTTTTTAAAAAAAATAATGATTTCTATCCCAAAGGTAGTGAGTACTTAATTCTGAGAGCTCAATTCTAGACAATCTCCCAGTTTCTAACAAGAATTTCACCATTATTCCTGGCCCCTGATCTAGGGCGGAGGACCCCGGTATAAGCTGTGCACCGTCAGGGTCTCCACCCTCAAGGGATGAATCAGACCCTCTGCACTCACTATCCCCTGTGAGATGTTAATCCAAAGCAATGAAATTAACTCCATGTTACTTTCAATGAAAACATCTCAACCCATCCATCCAACTTACTGTGATTCTTTTACATGATCACCTTTGCAAGATGTGCAAGAACTCTCAATAGTGTGCAAATGTGTGTGGAAAGGACTTTCAGACTCACTAAATCATTCAAGGAACTTAGAGCCTGGACCTCAGTACCGTTGCTTTACATGAAGACATTACCCAGTCAGATACACACTTCCCTCACCCAACCCACCTCTAAATGGCCTTTCACTAGTTCCAAAAAAAATAAACTCTTCCCTGTGAAGATTATGGATGAGTGTAGAATGATTCCCAAAAATATTATCTGAGCTTTAGGATTTGACTAGCTACGAAAATACCAACAACAGTCATTTGGAAGTACGGGTCATTGATATGTATTGAAAAGTCAATAATTGTCTTTCTAGCCCTGCCTAGGACTCTGGGGTGATCACTGCTGTCTCAGCCGCCATTCCATGCTACGTTCCTGAGATGTCCCCAGACAGACGAGAAGAACAGTGAGAAGTTTCCTTTGTCTCAGATTTATGGCGCTTGTAGACAGCTCCCGATTATCCCCATCCAGAGATAATATTCAAAAAAACATAAGCTATTCATATTATGGAATACCATCATAATTTCTCTGGCACTTTATTTGTGGTAAAAGGACCGAAATGGGATTTTTTCCGTTATTTCTGTCCCACATGTAGACAATGTCTGCAGTACAATGCATTGATCAAACACGTAAGTGAAAGGAAAACAAAATAATTGTTCAACCTTTGTTATCACTCATGTCTGACATTTGGGCTGCTTCCTTGCTTAACAAGAACACTCTTAAGGCCAGAAAGTTATTAAAGACAGAGAAGGTCCAATAATAGAAAGGATTGGCACTGATAACCTGGCAGGTACCATGGATCCCATTCAATATGGCACCAAAGTAGCACTTAGCCTGTGGTTCATTTTCAGTTGGGCACCACATCAAACATTTGAGGAGGGGTCTAGTGAATAAGGAGGCTGATTCAAAAGCTAAGCCAAGGACAATCTTTCTGACTGTGTGGGCCTGCAGAGAAAGACCATCAGCTTACCGACAATGATTCCAGGTCTCCTGTCCATCTCCACAATGTGAGGATGGACGCCTTTGTAGGCCGCATCGCTGACCACTTGGGTGTTTTTCCTCACTCGCTCCGTCACAGGGTCATCTACAACAGGAGTAAAGCCCCTTCCCTTTGTCTTTTCAAAATCTTCATGATATTTTACCTGAAAAAAGGAAAAACAACATTAACTCAAACTGGAATTTCCTGATTGTTACATACCTCACAAAATTTTGATATGGCAACTGCATCTAGATTATTTTCCACATATATGTATCTAGAATCAACTGCATCTAAGACTCAATTGCATCTAGATTCAACTGCATCTAGATTATTTGCCACATATATGTATCTAGAATCAACTGCATCTAGATTCAACTGCATCTAGATTCAACTTCATCTAGATTATTTTCCACGTATATGTATCTAGAATCAACTGCATCAAAGACTCAACTGCATCTAGATTCAACTGCATCTAGATTATTTGCCACGTATATGTTTCTAGAATCAACTGCATCTAGATTCAACTGCATCTAGATTCAACTGCATCTAGAATATTTTCCACATATATGTATCTTTTCCAATTACTCCAAAAATAGTGTCTGAAATGTCAGCTTCCTAGCATCAGAAATCAAGCGCTGATATTTTCACAATGTTTTTCATCATTATGGTTAGCAGCTCTTTATATATAAACCAGTGTAGTATATCAGTGAGAAGGTTTAAAAGATATATACATATTTTTTTTAATCCTGGTGATTCTCTAAAATGTACTAACTTAGGTACAAATTAATTTTCTATCTTTGAACCTTTAATAGGTATTAAAATGATATATTATTTCCACACAATTATCCAAGAAAACAGTATTATTTAAAATTAGATTGAGAGTTACAAATAATTATATATATAATTTTTGTATATCATTACAAAAATGGACATATATACCTAAAACATACACTTTTTTCATGTTCTGATCTGTAAATTTTACTATAGACCACTGAATTGTACACTTTAAATGAGTAAACCTTATCACATATAAATTGTATCTCATGAAACTGCTTTAAAAAACATACACATTTTTTATATTCTTTGCAACATACCAAACTCTGTCTTAAAATTAATTGAAAAGAAGTCCAAGCAAATGTTTTTCATAAAATGCATTTATAGTAGTCATGTTAGAAATAAAAACACACCCAAAATATCACTGAGAAAAATTACTTTATTAGACTAAATATGTCCATTACATTTCAGTGTCATTAGAAAGTCCCCCCAAAAGGATGGGCCTATCCACATTTTGTTTTGCATTCATGCTTTGTTAGTTATCCAGATTAATGGTGAACGACGCCGTCATACACTTGGTGGGGCCATTCCTTAGTATGTTTTAGTCATGAGAAGGAGGAGCTGGTTGTACCCTACCATTGAAATACGATTTTGTGCTTCTTTGACATATCTCAGACCAGGTGTATCTAAAATCAGACTTGGTCTACCTTTCATCTGTTTATGGTCCTGGGTATATTTTACCTGCAAAGTAAATAGTAGAATGTACTTAACAATAAGACAATTATAAGAAAAAATACTGTGTAACTTTTCAAACTTTCCAAATGAGTGAAACACATCCAACATATTCACAATTCTTTCCCAGGGAAGTTGTTCAGTGAACTACCTATCATTCTAGAGTAACAGTCTAAAATTTTACTCTCAAAGTTCACCTTGAAAAGCTACAGCAAAGACAATCTAACTCTCTCTATGAACCGAGAACAGATGTGTGAATGACCAAGATTCACTAACAATGTAGTCAGGAAAAGTGGTTATCACACTTAAATTAAACAGGAAAAATCCAAACCAAATGAAGGCTAAATGTATTTTCCTGTTTCTAGGATTTCCCCATTTTCCACGGTAACACTGTTGAAGAATGCATACCAAACCCAAGCATCCCTCTATTTCCTTTTCTTTTTTTTCCCACCGTAGAGGGTAAGAAGCGAGGAATATCAAATCGAATTTCCTTGTAAGCAGCCACAGCTTAAAGGTAGTTTATGTCAAATAGAGTCAACATCTCTGGACAGAAATGCCACTGGAGAGCTATGAACTGTTAAACCTAAATGCTGATTCCCAGGCATAAGAAAGTTCTTCTTGACGGCTGACCAGCAGAACACTGCTGTTTATGAAGCTGGATATGCATGACATCAGGATGGCCATTACTGAGGACCTGAGCACGTATGTGCAATTCGGAACTAAAGCCCTGATACTTACTAAGAGAAAGTGTACTATCCAAATAAGACACCGAGGTGCACATGGGACTTTAATGAGTAACTGAATTCTATATTCAATGCATTGAAAGATTTTTTTTCCTCTACATCTTACTCTGGAGTAACGAGTCATTTCTGATTTTGTTTTGCTGAGAACATTTGACAATCCACAGTCAATGAAATACATCTGCAAAATGACACTTATTTAACTTATGCATCAAAGACTTTACCACTTTCAAGACACTGGCTAAAATAACATGAATCACTGTTTAAATGAGCATGATATAGTTTAAAACTAAGCTTTGAATGTAACCATTGGTCACATCTGGAAATAGCAATGAAGGGTTGCAGGATAACGTCAAGTTTTGCAATGGAAGTCATCTGAAATAACACATGTACTTACTGCGTGTATCACAAATGTTGCTTGAAAATACCTTTTATTTTCACAAAAAAAAAAAAAAACAGGACTGCAAGTAAATTATAACGGATGCATCCTTTATAACAGACCAAAACGAATAAAACCACTTGCCGAACTAATATTTTCTTGGTTCTTCTTCACTCTTTCCATTTCAGGAGTTACACTTAAAGCTGTAGCTCTTCCCAGTTGACCTTTATAATAAACCTATCATTTCAGAGAATAAAAAATAAGAGGACTGTGCATCAATTCAACTAAGTAAGAGTCTCACAGTAGCTATTTTAAAGAGCTAGCCAACAGGTGTCTGGGTGGCTCAGTCCATTAAGCATCTGCCTTTGGCTCAGGTCATGATTCCAGGATCCTGGGATCGAGCCCTGCATAGGGCTCCCTGTTCAGTGGGGAACCTGCTTCTCCCTCTCCCACTCCCCCTGCTTGTGTTCCCTCTCTCGCTGTGTCTCTCTCTGTCAAATAAATAAATAAAATCTTTAAAAAATAAAAATAAAAAATAAATAAAGAGCTAACCAAGAAAAGGGAACTATGAAAAAAGAGAATGCTTCTAGAGAGCTAACCATATTTAAAATGCTTGCATCTTAAATCAATCTATTTTCATTCATCCCGTAGTATGAATCCCTGGGAATGGAGTCACTGTGAATGTACTCAAATATATGGGCATACCATCAGTAGAACTGTCAGAAGCATTGTATCACAAAGGAATAGGAGAAGAAATGTCTTCGTGGATATTACTTAAAGGTACTCTACCCATATACTGCTACGGTTTGTCAGTAATTAACTGCAGCAGAACTTTTGAAAAGATGCCTAAATAGTGACCAACGTCAGCAGAACTTTTGAAAAGATGCCTAAATAGTGACCGACATCATCCATAAACAGGCCAGCATGCTTCCCACTACTCTATTCTCCTTCTCAGTAACCACGTTCCTTTCTGAGACTAATGAAGTTATGTCAACCATGATTCTAAATATATCAGGAAAAGCTGAGCATCTACTTCTCCAAAACACAGTTGTGAGGTAAAGTGCCAAAAAATGGCCTGCCTTTGTCTTATAATCTGCTCGTAAGACTTTAAAGGTTTGAGGAATAAAAGATTTCTTTGAACCTAATAGATTTCCAGGTTTCCTTTTCCAGAGAACCCAATCTATATGTTAATGACTTCAAAAAAGGATTCTCTCAGTGAACTACAGCCATGGATTACAGAAACAGAAGGGGATTAAGAATTGGCCATGAGTTGGTGCCTGAGTAAAACCTGACAGCCCCAGTGGGGCCCGTCCCATGTGATCTCTTCAGGCATGCACACTTTATAATTGCCCCCAAGATATCGTCCAAAAATAAAGCGCCAGTAGCTGGGAGTGGGTGATGGGACAGGACAGGCTAATGAACAAGAACACATACTAGTAGGAAAGGCAGTAGGAAAGCTTATCTGAAGGGCCAAGATGCTAGAAGCTACCACTGCATCCCTTAGGGGAGCCACAGTAACTGGAAGCACGCAGACAAGATGAGAGGGACACCCAGTGATGGACAGACAAAAATCGTGCTGGCAGTCACTAGGAATGCTAGAGCACGGAATGCCTGGCTGAACCCACCACACCTCAGACCCTGCAACCTTTGAAGTCAATTGGCCGTCCGTGGAGAGCAGAATTGCCAACACAAGGTTATGAAAATGTTATCAACACAATCCCTTCATTGACATTGATCATTCATTTGCTATCATAAGAAAAAAAAGCTACTAAGGTCACACATTGCTGATGTTCTTCTGGTTTTCCTTAGCTCTCTTCAGCTCCGGTGGATCAGAAATGGCCGTTGCCTGTTTAATTTCTCCTTTGTATTTTACCTGCAGAGGATAAGCGAGGATTTTAATAGAGGGTAGAACAGTCTCCCCTGACACACCGCAGAGGAGGAACCTCAAAATTGACCCTATCTTTACACGTTTTCCCCCACTGTAGTTAGGCAGCCACCTTTCAGTTCCTATCTACACCTGGATCCTGATTCTTCTGACGTGGCAAGCACAAAATGTCAGCTGTGCTTCTTTACAATGATTTTTCAATACATACTCTGCTGTCTAATACCAAAGCTAATTGCAAATTCCATAACTAAAAGCCATGGAAATATGAGAGAAACAAGGGAATGAAGTCACTGCAAGAGAACCATAACGAGGTTGCCGGGCAGCCCAGGGAAAGCTATTTACTCTCATTCTGACCTGAGGCTTTCAAAAGAAGCTAAAGACTCCTGCCTCCTACCACATTCCAGGGGTATTATAAGAATAAAGCAGTATTCAGCCTGATTTTTCTCCTCCACCTGGAAGAACTCACACTCAAATTTTAAAGCCTTTCAAGATTCCCTGTTGGGGAAGAAGAAGGCTATTATTTATTTTGGTAAAAGTTCCATGAAAGGGCCCAGAAAATGGGAAAAATAACTAGTAGGGGGCACCTTTGAAAGGGCTTTCTGAATTGAGGGAGGCCTGGGTTCAAATCCCAGGTCTGCCCTTCACACTATGGGTTCCTGGCATGTCTGCTGACCTCCCCAAGACTCAGTTTTCTGCACCTACAAACCAGAAAAATAAATTGTGCCAACCTCATGGCTTCATATAAAGCACTGAGCACAGGAGCCCTATCAGAGGTACCTCCTGATGGTTAACTCTCACTGCTTTATTAGCAATAGATTACTGAGGATTGACTAATGTTTTCCATTTTATTTATAGGTTCCCTGCCCTGACCTTATGTCTTCGAACCCCACCCAAGCCGAGTCTTCTTTTGCTCTATTCTAACAGATAATTTTTTTTTTTCTCAGATTGACAACAGACCCACTTCTCTCCAGGTCCTACTCTCCAGGTAAAGTAGAGATTTACCTACTCAACTATGAGGTCCATGAGGATAGGAACCAGCTCCCACCCATCTTTGTGTGCCAGTGGAATGCCTGGCAGATTGGGGCGCTTGCTGAAGATTTCTTGAATAAACAACCATGGCTAAATTATAGGAAGACAGTCCCACATTTCCTGGATTGAAGGAGAGAACCAAAGGGCATGCCCTTGAGCACATGACCGTGAGAAGAAGCATCCAGCCCACCGAGGGCTTAAGCTTTTCAGAGAGCACCATGAAGAATAAAAATGCGTAACGCTTGCCAATAAAGGAGAACACAGAACCACTTGCCGTACTCAGTTGCTCCTGGTTTCTCCTCACCCTCTCCATCTCCGGCGTGACGCTCATCGGCGTGGTTTTGTGGTACTGTTCTTTGTATTGGAGCTGCAAGATAAGGTGCAAGACAGTGTGGAGTTACGCGAAGGAGGTATGCACCCATCCTCCAGAACAGACTAAAAGGAATGCCACGTGGCTACAAAGCATCCATTAGTTAAAATCTTCATTAGAGGGGTGCCTGGGTGGCTCAGTCGTTAAGCGTCTGCCTTCAGCTCAGGTCATGATCCCAGAGTCCTGGGATCGAGCCCCGCATCGGGCTCCCTGCTCGGCGGGAAGCCTGCTTCTCCCTCTCCCATTCCCCCTGCTTGTGTTCCCTCTCTCGCTGTGTCTCTCTCTCTGTCAAAAAATAAATAAAATCTTTAAAAAAAAAATCTTCATTAGAATTGCAAAGTGAAATATGTATCGCTAACAGACGTCTCCATTACACTCATCCCAGACTCCGAGCTCCTTCTCGTCCACATGTTTTGAATGCCACCTTCTGGCGGTGCTTCTTCGAATTGTATTATGTAACGGTGGCCTGAGTTTGGTCGTTACCAGTAATAAGAAATTACCCCTTCTGTGAATTCATTTCTTCATAGCACTAAAGCAACACTATCAAATTACTATTTTATACTTAACAATAAAAAGTGTACATTCTTATCATTAGCAAGGAGGGCTGCCCCGTCCCATGCTTGCACCTTCGTGACAGACTGTCACTACGGAATCGCACCCCGAACCTCAAAGTTTCCCTTCTCTACAAAGTTCCCACAATGGCAGGCCTGTGCTCTGACTAGCATTATGGAAATCTGCCTTACCTACTACATAAGAGGTTCTCTTTTTTGGCTGGGAGGATCAGACCCCAACATTTGTGGTCAGTTTTCCAGCAATTCCATGACACCCCAGGAAATAAATGAGCATCCAGCACAAAGAAACAGAACGGCATGTCCGTCCAGTGAATTTTTGACAGGCAAAAAGTAAAACTGGAGGTTAAAATCCTATGATGAGGAACTCCACATCTTAATGATTTTCTGGAATTTAAATTTAGTGGAAGGGAATTTTTTTTTCTTGTGAGGTATCACAAGACCTGCGGGACCTGCAGATAAAATGGACTTGAGCTGCGCACCCTCAGCCGTGAACATGACAGTGAAGAGAAGCTTGATCATCTGGGAAATAAATGACGAAGAGTCAGGCCCCCTCTGGGGGGCTGCTTTCCTCAGTGGGCGCCTTTCTTTGTGCCATGACATGTAGTTGAGAGTTTGGGCAGATTCTGTGTCCGGGATAATGAACTGTCTTAGTTAAAGTGAGAAAAGGTCCAGTGTAATCTCTACCAATGGTGGGATATGAGGAAAGATTACTCCGGGTGGTGATGGGAGGGGGGAAAATCTGCTGACCCCATGACAGATGTGGAGAAACTGCTGGAGCCACTTGGCAGTGGATGTAGGTTTGGGGACGTAAAGCTGATATTGGCGACTCCTCCTGTCTTGTTTTCATCCATTCACAAACATGTTAAGTGCTCTCCAAGCAAGATCTCGTCCCTGTTTCATAGGTAGGGAAGTTGAGGCTGGGAGAGGTGGGTGGTTTGTAAAAGTTATACAGCAGGTAAGGGCTGGAGCTGAGATCCAGCCAGCAGACCCGGGTCCACATTCTTCCCACGACTCCAGTATGGTCCCAATTTCTACCATGTGCACACCTCTTGCCGTATGCTGGGCCGGCTATCAAGAGTGCTGTGATTGCCAGTATTAGCCTTTCATTAAATTAACTCACTATTATTTGCAAATGAAGTTATTTTAAGGGGGTGTTATGTTTCTCTGACACATTGAAAACTACTAACCTTTCTTTTAGAAAAAGGGACACATTAAAACAATTTAATCCTTAAACCAAGGCCAGCTCACGGGTGGAACACCTGCCACTTATATGTGAACCACACTTTGGGAAACACTGGGACTCCCGACTTGCTTCCTTAGGCCCCGAATTACAACTTCTCTCTGCACCATCAGGTCCTTGCCACCTTTTACCCCACGCACTCATCACACTAAACCTTCCCTTCCTTAATCGGGACTTGGACCCTGAACAGATTCAGTTTGCTCTGCCAGGAAGATGCTTCCTCACGAAACCCACCCTAACTTTTATTAATCCTTCAAGATCTAACTCAAATGTTACTCTTCCTCCGAGGGTCTTTCTCTCTCTCTCATGGACATTGCCTTCCTTCTCTGCATTTCCACAGCACTTTGCAAAAGGAATCATTACTTATCATTAAACATAAAGACACTGCATGTAATGTACTCCAAAAGCATAGTAAACAGTCAGTAAATATTAATTATTGTGATAGCATTTCATGCATAATGGGTATTTATGCCCATGTCTGTTTCTCCTAGAGACCTGGAGAAGTCGCACTCAGCTTTGAATTTCCCCAGAACAAGAACAGAGCAGGCATTCAGTAACATGTCCTTTGATGGATAAATGCACACAGGAGGTGTCATGCTAGCTCAGCCTAAAGATGGGGGGCATCTTAGCCCCACCTTTTAGGAACTGGCCTCCTGCAACAGTGTGCATCGTCCTGGGACTTCACCCATACAAGTGTCACACCCTCATTGCCTACTGCCATTCAGTAAAGTAGAAAATGGTACTCAGGGCGCCTGGGTGGCTCAGTTGGTTAAGCGACTGCCTTCGGCTCAGGTCATGATCATGGAGTCCCGGGATCGAGTCCCACATCGGGCTCCCTGCTCGGCAGGGAGTCTGCTTCTCCCTCTGACCCTCCCCCCTCTCATGTGCTCTCTCTCATTCTCTCTCTCTCAAATAAATAAATAAAATATTTAAAAAAAAAAGAAAGAAAACGGTACTCAAAGAAATATGATCACACATTGCTGATGTTCTTCTGGTTTTCTTTAGCTCTCTTTAGCTCTGGAGGATCGGAAATGGCCGTTGCCTGATTCATCTCTTCTTTGTATTTTACCTGCATTACATATTTAAAAAACAAGGTGGTAGATGATTAAAAACAAAACAAACAAACAAAAGCAATGTGGGTTTTAGTCAACGAGAGGCTTAAAAGATAGGTAAGAATCCTGCATTCGTAACTGTTACACAGTTGAGTTTTTTAGACTCCAACACTAATTTTCCTTCAGTGGGAACACAAATTTTTATTTTATGGGATGTTGCTTTCAAGATTCCTTTATCCTAAAGTGCAAATAAACTCATATCTATTCACCTAGCCATCACCATAGGAATTATTTAATTAAAATAAGCAAATGTTGAAAATATTTGAAAATAAATTTTATCATTAGGCAAAGACACAAAAAAACCTTGGAAATCATCGTAAGTAATATAATAACTTATAAGTTTCTAGCCAAAAAGCAGTTTCTACTCATTAATGTGTGAGTTTAAATGTATCATGGATTTAAAGGCAAAAGCCAAACTGTGTTAGCTACAGAGTCTTGGGAAGACTGCTTATCTGGGGGAGAGCACACAAATGATCCAGAATAAGGAAAAAAATAAAGTGGCCACAACCAAAGAAGAAAAAGAGGAAGGTGGAGGGAAATGTACAAAAAAGCAGAGGCCAAGGCCCCTGATCTCTATCGAAGGCCCTGTGGCAGGAAGTCAGGATCATGTTATACAAATCCAGCCTATACACTGGCATTCACTTTATTCAAAAGCTCTTCCTCCAAATCTATTTAGAGGAAGATCAACCAGACAAAAATGGTAATGCCAGCACACGGTTATGCATGAGACAAGAAACAGCTCTTTAAACTTATGAAATGATTAGTAATGCCATCGGATCAGGTGGTATTTTAATATGTCTAAAATTCATGGAAGATTAGATTCAAGAAAAAGGACACACATAAATATTTATATGTAGCAAATGCAGGCAAGACCTAAGAGGCACATGTTGAAATTTAGCAAAGACTTAAATCTACACAAACCAGGTTTTAGAAATCACTTGGTAATATTTAAATGATTAAGGCTGAAATCCATGCTGACAGAGACAAAGAAATGGTAACCTACGTATCTATGTCCTAGTAGCCTTAGATTTAATAGGAGTAACAATGGCAATATGAGTCCAGATCCAAAACAGTTAATTTGACAATACACTGAGAAAGACCACCTCTAAATAAGATTCAAAAATAGCTCTTAACAGGGAAAGCTAATAGCTAAAAGGCTTGTACATCGGAGGTGGAAAATGTCGAGATCTTTAAATGTTAGAGAATCATATCTTGGTTTGACAGATCTGGCTAATCTTGAAAGGGCAACTTTCCATTTGAATACTAAGCAGGAGTTTATGGCCCAACCTTATAGAGATACAGAATTACACATTTATTGTTTGCTAGAAGAGGCAGCGGAATGCTGGAAAAAGAAATGATATACCGTACTACTTTGCGTGATTTTCCTCGGGTAAGAAGCTAAACGTGATTAAAGATGAACATTTGTGTTTTTCATACGACTCTAAACTAATCAAAATGGCACAGTCATTTTACTGTAGGCAATGGAATTGCATACTACAGAACATTTATAACATTGTATTTCAGTACACTGATGGGTACATTTCAAATATTATCATTGGAAAGTGAAGGAAACATTTTACCCTTCTCTGCCAAACTAAGTTCCCCGCCAGACCCCAGCATTGCCGGACACGGGCTCTCGCCACAGTGGATCAGAACACATTTGCACACCCTAACGGTAACCTCCTTCTCCTCATGCTTTCTTCAGGTGACAGTTTCATTCATGCTACAGAAATTTTATTACACTAGTAGTCTGCAGATTTTTTGAAGTATGCTTTACTGTAGCATTACCTTGCCTTTCCTACTCTTTCTCCACAAAAGCCCATGCACACTCCTATTCTAGAACGCCACATTAACTATCCTGACAGATACATCTAACCGGAGCTGTTCTACTTGAATTACTTAAAGGCTCTGCCTCCAAGAATGAAGGTGAAGAGAAAGGTCAAGAAGGGGATTTCAGGAAAGAACCTTTACGACTTCCTCAAGAAGAAACTAAATACACTCCATATCCATGGAAGAATTCCTGTTGGTAAGGATAGCCAGTCTCCATTGTAAATGTCAAATACCAAATGGAAAAGTTTTTACCTATAACAGTAAGCGCCTCCTCTACCCTTCCCCCCTAAGTTCAAAGGGAGTTGGAGGGTAAGTTATTTTACAAATTATAGTGAAGGTGCATGTTTTTGCTTTGCCGAAAGCTGGAAGAAGTAGAAAGCAAACAGGGCCTCTGAAACCTTCCCTTAAGCCACCAAATAGATGTACTAAGGGCCTTTAATCATTCTGCAGGGTAAAATTTCTTTCCTCCAAGTTGTGGAGAGGTACTGAAATTTATCTTTTCTCTGAAAAATTTAATACAGTTAAAATTCTGTTCAAAACATGAAATCTAATCCTAGATCTCATTACTGGACTATTAAAGTGATCTATCTCTCTTGCACTATGATATATCAAGATGAAACACTGCTTTAGGTTCAAGGGGAACAAGGCGACAGTTTTCCTTCTGAAAGTGAGAACTTTGATATTTGATGAAATAGCATTTTAACAAAGAGAAGAATAAAAGAAAAAGTAGCCAGTTTAGCAAAGAACTAAAAACATTTATCTAGCTTATGCTTTCTTTTGGAAAGGATAATTAATGCTGTAGAGCACTTACTGAACTAATATTCTGCTGATTTTTCTTCACTCGTTCAGTCTCTGGAGTATATTTTACTGCTGTGCCAGCTCCTACTTCTTCCTTATAAAATACCTTTGTTATAAGAGAAGGAAAGAATAACTATAAGCTTATTGGAATTCAGGTCCTAGATCAGATTCTTATAAAAGAAAGACAATTTCTCAGGTTCTCAAGTAATGTGAATACAACTTCTATTTATGAGTAACAAGGTTATATCAATCAATTAAATAATCCATTATGAGAATAAATGTCCCATTTGGGTCTCACATTCCATAGCATCCCACCAATAACCCCCAATACCTCTTCTAGGACATGTGTGGTAGCTGACATGGCTGCAGATTATTTGGTCTAAGAATATAAGTGGGCAAACTAGAGTTTCCTTCTTCAAATACAAACACAAATCACATGTGTGTTTGAGAAAAATCAAAGCACATATTAGAAAAGCTTACTAAGCAGTATCATTTAATTCAAAAACGGCATGAAATTTTAAGCAAGTGCTATTCTCCAAACACAAAGATGCCCTCGTTCTCTTCAAAGAAAGTACTGGCTCTATCCCCAACATCAAAAGTTTATTCAGTCTATTTCCTGTCTCTTCTACGTTAACCTTCCCACATGCCTCTCCACTCCTACCAACAATCCACCCCTTTCAAAGACAAAGCAAAACAAAGAAACAAAATGTTTTACCAAATAGTAGGATAATTATAAGAAAGGCATATGAGGACGGAACTATTCCCTCTGTTAAGATTTGGTAATTCAGTGGGCCCTAATGGGGGTTGGAAGAGTATGGTCTCAGAGATGTTTTCCTCCACAAGACAAAACTCTAGAACACCATGAAATCACAGGAGATAAGGGTGGAAACAGCTTTTTTCCCCTGATCTTCCCTTCCAGCCAGACTTTTCCATTTCTTAGCACACCTGCTTTGAAGGCCCTAGAGGTACCTGACTAGCACACATTGAGGTTTAGAGTTTACCAATTTATTACAAAGTAGAAAATATTCCAAAAGTCCTCAGACTTAATAGAATTTATATTTTGATGAGACATTTACTTAACTACTAAGTGACTAATGAGCTAGTTCTACATAAAAATATTGGCTGTACGGTCAATTTTTATAATCTTAGAATTCAGGTTTATATATCCATTAAATGTAGACCCTGTCCCTTAATTAATGGTTGCTGATACAATTCCTATTCCTCAAAATAAAAATATAAAAGTTTAGGAATTGGTTACAAGCTAGTAAATCCCTAAATACCTGATCATTGCAAATCAGTGACCAGGAAGGAAATCGCATTATAGGATTATTCTCATCTCTGAAGTAAAATCTGTGTGGAAGATTAAGATCTCTTTCCTAACAAACAATGAATCATGGAACACTACATCAAAAACTAATGATGTAATGTATGGTGTTTAACATAACAATAAAAAAGAAAAGAAAAAAAAGATCTCTTTCCTAAGTAAAATTTTAAATTTCAGTTAAAAAGAACTCTTGCTTGTTCCACAGAAGAAAATTTGAAATTATAATTCCAAAACAATCATGATAAATTATACCTTGTAAGAACATTTGGTACTATTAAAGAGAAACAAAGTGCCCAAAATGGAGTCACTCATGTTAAGCCCCATCAAGACTTAATACCTAACCTAATTGCAGTTTCAGCCTCTCCCGAGAGTGGAATTTTAAACCAATCAGTCTGGAATTTCCTGATCAGGACTAGAGAGGTAATCTGCTTGGTAGGTCCCCACCTTTTTCCCTGAGGGAACGTGACCTTGTCTGAAGTAATCCTATCTTTTCTCCTGCTAATAACTTCCCTGTCCTGCCAGTTTCTGCCTATCAGAGCCTTATATTTTGTACATCTCTACTGATCATCCTCAAATTTGTTAGAGGGGATACTGCCTGATTCATGAATTATTGAATCAAGCCAATTAGATCTTTAAATTGACTGAATTTTGGTTTTTTAACAGAACTTACTATTTTTTAAAGATAATACATTTGACAGAAAAGTCAAACAATGCAACAAGCAATCAGACAATGAGGAAAAAGGCCCTCCTTCCAGAAACAAAATTTCAAGGTGGCCACTGAAAAGCAGTAATGGCTACTCACCGCACTAATGTTTTGTTGAGTTGTCTTGATTCTCTGAATTTCAGGAGTATCTGCCACAGAACTATAGTTAGAAAGCATCTTTTCTGCTTCGTCTTTATACTTTTTCTAAAAATAGAAACAGTTCTTATGAATCTGAAACTCTGTGTGTGTGTGTGTGTATGAGAGACAGAAAATGACGCTGCTTCCAACTCTCCCATTCCACATGGCTCATATCATCATAAATTATATCTTATGATTCAAAGCAGTTATTGATGTGACAGCAAAAATAAAGGGAATAAGCAAACAGAGTAAGCAAATAGCCCAGAGAAGCAAGCTTGCCTCTTCTCAGGCAATGGGTCCCACCCTAGTCCATTCAAAGGCCTCTGGAGAGCATGGCCTCTGTGCCACTCTAAGTTTGGAAACTTGTGATGTTGTAACTTACAATAAGAAATTGGTTATATTTGGTCTTTGTCCCTATTTCTGGCACAGAGTTCCTAAAAACCCTCAGAATTTCCTGTGATGAGAGCGGTAAGAATATCTTTTGTTATGTTAATGAAGTGATTTTTGGACCACACTTAAGGATGGGACTGGTTGCCAGGGGAACCAAACAAGTGATTAAAGGGTTGGACTTCCAGTCCCAACCCCCAACCTCTGGGGAGGGGAGAGGAGCTGGAGGCTGAATCAATCACCAATAGCCAATGAGTTGATCAATCATGCCTATGTAATGAAGCCTCCATAAAAACCCAAAAGGAAAGAGTTCGGAGAGCTTCCAGGTTGGTGAACATAGGGAGATTTGGGGGAAATTGTGAATGAACCCGGAGAGGGCTTGGAAGCTCTGTGCCCTCTCCTCATACCTTGCCCTATGCCTCTCTTCCATCTGGCTGTTCCTGAGTTATATCTTTTTATAATAAACTGCCAATCTAAGTTCTGTGAGCTGCTCTAGCAAATGAATCTGACCCACAGAGGGGGTCCTGGGAACCTCTGATCTATAGGCTGTTGGCCAGAAGCACAGGTGACAAACTGAGCTTGCAACTGGCATCTGAAGAGGGGAGGAGAACCATCCTGTAGGACTGAGCCCCTAACCTGTAGAACTTAGTGCCGGCTTCCAGTAGACAGTGCCTGAATTGAGTTGAATTCTCCAATCCCTTGCTGATGTCCGAGAATTGCTCGTTGGTACGGGGAAGCCTCCACATACATGCGTTGGAATTGGTGACCAGAACCCAGAAGAAACCTACCCTTTCATGAGCAGCCCCAGTCCCTGTTCAAAGTAGTCCTATAGCTCCTGCAAGTAACCTAGTTCTCTATACCCACTATTTCTACGCTTCTGAATTCATGCTTTGTTTCCTACTTCAGAAGAAGATACATTTGATAATGGAAAGATACTAATATTTCTGTAGTTGAGATTAAAATCTCAATTTTCAAATGTATTACTATAATCTCCAATACTATCTGGGCCATACCTTTGACGAGTACCCACATTGACATAGTCGTAGGTATGGTTTGAAATACACATTAACTCATTGAATCAACCCCACAAGCAGATAGTGTTACTATCCCCTCTTACAGATGGGGAAACTGAGACACTAGCTATGAAGTGTCAGAGCTAGGATTTAACCCAGGCACTCTGGGTCCAAAGTCAGTGAAGTTAACCATTATGGCATACTGATGCTTGTTAGGAAAGTAATTATCGTTCGTGTTGGGACTCAACACGGCATCATTACAATCTCATAAGAATTCCATTGTATCCTATATAATTAAAATTCCTTGAAGTTAGATGTATCCTTCTGTCGCACACAAACAAGGCAACATTGTGAAGTTAAGGCAGGAATGCTGACGACTCAGGCATCACTTCCTCTGGGAAGCCTTTACCTTTTGGTGGCATGTATCACGGTTTGTAATACTGTATTTGTGTGATTATTTGATTATTAAACTATTAGATTAGTTCCCCAAGGGCAAAACCATGTCTAATTTTGCATGAAAGTGGGTGCTCAGAAAGTATTTACTGAACTAATGAATGAGATTGGCATTTTTGAGACAGTGACTTTTCTCCACTGACTCGTATGACCATTTACCTGTTTTATGTATTTATCAATAATTTTAGTCACTTGATATAGTTAGAGCCAACTTCTCCAAGTTCAGGTGGCACCATGAGATACTGAGGACAGATGAACATGCACTTCAGGACCATCCCAACAGCTGTGTCATCTGAGGAGGCTGAGAAGCAGATAACTCCTTTGACATGTGACTGTCATCTGGATACACCCTTTTGAACCAGCAGATGTTCGGATACTGCTTATGTTTTAATGGGAATTTTAACAAATGTGGTCAGATTTTGTTGAAAATTATTTTCACCATAAATCCCATTAATCAAATGTAATTCCTTGGTCAATTTTCTATAACACTTTTAATTTTTTCATTCCCCTTTATTTTTTTTCCGTTGGGATTCATTCTTTTCCTTGTAAATTTTATAGCAAAGACAATATTCACTAACGAATTTTGCCCAGTTCAGATTTTATCGATAACTTCTTCCATTAAATATATTATTTTGTGGTTATATCCATATCCAACTTTTCTAGAGCTTTTTTTGTACAGTTCGTTCTAAAGGATGTGTGACCGGTCACTTGGTAAATTAAATTTTACCAAGAAGACAGTTCTTCTCTTAATTTTTAGTTAATATTCAATTTCACCTTCCACCTTGTGCAGTTTTATTCACTGTTTGTTAGCGCTGATTATTTTAAGGATAATATTCATGATGAGAGGGTTAAAAGACAAACTCATTTGTAATCTCTTTTCTGTACTATGAGCACGGGATTCAAGCGTGCACTAGAGTCAAAAACTAAAAATAAAAAAGATCACAGTGTCATTGGACTCAAACAGGAGAGATCAGACATTCAATAACAGTCATTGAATTGACAGCAACTGTCCCTTTCATTAGTGAGATTAATCAAGTTTGACCAATAGCTCCTAGAACAGAGTGCACTGACTTTGAATACAGTGCCCTCCAAAAAATATCAGTCTTAGAGACACACGAAGCACATGGTGACTGGAGATCAGAAAACAGTATTCTGAGCATCTTCACTCCCTACCAACCTGGCTATAGATCTCAGATGCCCTCTTGGCTCGCAGTATGTCCGGGATGTCCATGCTTACTTGCATTCCTTTCCCCTTAATTTCATTTTCCAAGTCTTTCTTGTATTCTTTCTAAAAGAACAGAAAATAATCTTCAGAGCTTTGCTTAGCCTCCCATAGCAACGCAGATCCATATGTGTTTGACTCTCAAGGCCACGTGTGCAAAAATGCCATTTTTACTTTTTCTAAACACAATTCATCGTGTCTGTTGTAAACTTTGTATCCTGTGGGTTTCTCACCTGGCTGGCCATTTCCGATGCTTTCTTGGCTCTCTGGATATCAGGAATGTCTGGACCCACCTGCATGCCCTTCCCTTTTATTTCAGTCTCCAGATCTCTCTTATAGTCTTTCTGGAGAAAATAAAACATGCAATGAGGGCTCCACAAGAATGTGAAAAACTGTTAACAACTGTGATGGCATTTTCACATCAGGATTGTGGTTTTGGACTCTTACTTCTCTTATTTCTACAAAACTAGGAAGAGTTTTAAAACTTGTGGGAGGAAGATGGCTTGGAGTGACTTAGTCACAAGTAATCAGAAGGCTTCTGTCTACTAACCTGAATTAAGAAAGAAAACACAGTTAGCCAAGGGGGAAGTTTTTCTATTTCAATACAATAAAATTGATCAGTTATTGGTTAACAAATAACTCATTTGATGATTATCAGTAAGATGTCATTGTAAAACTGTCACTTTTTGTTCTGTAGTGACTGATTATTGCTGGTTGCTTCCTTGGAATGCAACCACTCTCGCCCCCACCCCCAATAGCCCCTGATTTGCCACTGGGCAACTCACAGCTCCCCCATGCTAGACCATTCAGCTTGGTGAGACTGGCCCAAGTCCGCAGGTCCTGTTGGGTTTACATAACCCATTATACCCTGTCCCTGGCCCTTCCGGTTTTCTCCAGGGATGAATAGGATTCTTTTTCCACACAAGATAACAAGAAGCTTTCCCTCTCCTTCTAGACGTGGATGGAGAAGGAAGGAGCTCCAGGAGCTGCTAAGAGCCTCTTTGCAAGTAGAAGAAAGCCTGCCTGAGAACTGAAGAGAGAAATTGAAACTCAATCACATTGTCTGAGCCCCAGAGCAAGCCGAGACTAGGGCTTCCTCTACTGTTTGGTTCTAAGAACAATAAATTATCTGCTTGTTTTGAGCAGCCTGAATTGAATTATGTGTTACTTACAAAATAGTCATAATTAACCAGACACAACACGTCTCTGAGACTCATCACATTTTAAAACTGATCCTAAAAAATTGAGCAGGCTGTACACTTAAGTTGTATACTTTTCAGTGTGTATGTATTCTTCAATGAAAAATTTTATTACAAGAAAAAAAACTATTAACTGTATCTAATTACATTTCTTCTAAAACAGTTATTTCCTCTTATGTTGACATACTCTAGATGTGACATAATCTAGATTTGTAGATTCCCTGCAATGGCGTAAATGTTGGCTTGCTTATCTGTGATATCCTAAATTTTAAAAGGTATAAACAAAGATCTCAGTCTCTGAGAAATATTATATTTTTTCCTATCTTCTACTCATAACTCTGCTTATTTTCACTGACTTAGAGTCTCAGTTTCACTTTCCTGAATACAGTTTAAGTAATAGCATTTAACTTTCAAAATCATAATACTCCATTATTACTATGTGTGTATAAAAAAAAAAAAACATTTCTAGTAAGCCTCTTTAAGGCCCCCAAATAAAGCACTTCATTTGAAGGACAAGGTATGTAGAAAATGAGGCACTGATCATAGACAGCCACCAAGGTCCCTGGGTAGAAGTATGTCATTTAATTTTGCGATATGAATGTTGAAATCCAAAAGCGTCCTCAAGCATGTAAATAGACTACACAGGACACTAGTTACATCATTTACATACTAATGCATAATAAAATACCCTAAAACTTTGAAGGTTTAAAACAACATGATGGCACCTAGATTCCAAGAAGGCAAGCCCCAATACACAAGAGTTTTAGAGGTTCTGCGGGAGTCATGTTTGCTAATGTCCTATTGGCTAAAGAAAGTCACATGGTTAATTTCATAGGTTCTGGAGGGTTTAACTATTGGGAGTGATTCATGTAACAGTATATACCACATTAATTTCTTTGAAAAGTTAAGCCTTGAACTATAACAAAGTCCCAAAGTTTGGTTGAAATGGATGTGTGAGCCTATCAATTGGGCAAAATGGGACATGGCTAGGATTACATACAAATGAGAACTTTGGATTGCAAAGATAATAGCATGGCCATAATCATGATGTGCATATAACCATAGGACAGCTGACTCCCCTAGGCCTTTCTTTCCCCTAGCTTCTCAAGAACTAGTATACAGTCCCGAGGTACACACAGAAATTGAAAGCAGCATATCATTGAATAAAACAAATCTATACCATTCCAAGGAAAGACATGACATTCCAACGTTTCATGAAAGGAATATGTGTTAAAAGCCTGTTCTTAGGTAAAAGTGTGAAATACAAAATTATATTCTTTCCACATTGTTCTCTCCAGGGAAAGGATGCCTACTTTCGGCTTCATCCCTCAGGATGATTTTGAAAGCTTTTCCCCAGCCTCGAATCCCTCACTTCCAACCCCCTTACTCCAAGCCAGTAACTTGAACTAACACTGCCCCCTCCTAATAATAAGAAACATTTCAGAGAATTATAAGTGTAATTTGATAGTTCCTGGGTAGTTAGTTACTTGGAATCCCAAGGAGGCCACCATTAAATCTAAGAAATAAATAACCAGAAAGAAAAACTGTGCAAAGACCAGGGGAAGGACCTTCCAGAAGACAACAAAGCTGTGCAGAGACTGCAAGTCTGTGAGGTTGGAGCATAATCATAATGAGCAAGGGAAGAGGGGAACAAGATGAGAATGGCAGGAGGGTGGCTTTAAATGCAGGAGCAAGGAGTGGGGCATTTATACTGGACATAACTGGAAACCAGTGGAAGAGTTCCAAGTAGTGAGAGTAACATAATTTAACTTAATTCTTCAAGGATGGTTCTGGTGTTTGGGTAAAGAATGGATACGAAGAGGACAATAATGGAAGCAGAATTCTGGTTAAAAGCCATTGCAGGGATCGAGGTGACAGACATGGTAGCTTGGACTAGGGTGGAGAGAAGTAAATGGATTTAGAAACCATTTGGGGGGCAGAGGCAATAAAAGTTGCTGACAAGAGGAATCCAAGTGACTTCTGAGATCTCGCTGCTACCATTTGCTGAGAAGGGAGTGGAAAAGGAAAGCAGATCTGGGGAAAAATTAAGCATTCTGGTTTTATTGTATAATACTGAGATCCTGTTATTGCATTTTACATGTCATTTACATGTGGTAAAGCCTATGAGACATCAAAAGGTAAATGGTTGCAAATTCACATCCATGTTATGAAACACTTAATTTTTCTATAAGAATGAGGTAGAACTATATAAAGTAACATGGAAAAGGGTCCATAATATTAAGTGAGAAAACCAAACACAGAACAAAATACAGGGTATTTAAGGATTTTTTAAGTCTATGTGTACATACGTGTTATGTTTATCTATGTACACATAAGAATAGATCCAGAAGACTACAAATTTGCAACAATGGCTGTATTTCAGGAGAATGGAAGGAGGGGTCAGATGAAAGGCAGTTTTCAAGGGCCTGTTCAGCACGCACCCTCCCCAACTCTGCCATTTCTAAATAAAACCCCTGTTGGTCAAGACTCCTATGCCATCTCCAGATCCTTTGTCCAAACCAATTATGACCCTTCCATTCCCCTGGCCAGTCCCTAACCCTGGGGATGCAAGCAGATCCCAACATGGCAACAACTCGCCAGGCAGTTAATCAGCTTCTTCTCGCCCTCCAGATTTCCTGGGGGGAGTCAGCCCTGAGCCAGTTCTTCCTAACAGCAAAGGTCACATTACAGCTCTCAGCGTATCCCCACTGAAACACCCCCCAATCAGCCTTGAGGTAAGTGGGCAGCACTCCCTAACCTGCACCCCAACATTCTCTTCACAAATGTTTCTCACAAAATCCCCTCTTCCCAAATACTCTCTACTCCAGTGACACTCTTATATTCTCGAAAATACTGGAGGAGTTCAAGAGGCATGGAACTGGTTCTGGGGTATTTTCTTCAAAAAATACACATATGGTTTGACTCTTACAACGTTGTTATCTGCTATCTATTATTATCATAACATCTAAGCCAAAACTTCTAAATGAATATCCTGTCATTACATGCATTACATGAAGAGGAAAATATCAGATGAATGAACACGGTCATTCAGGATATAGAACGCTTCAATCCAAAATGTTAACCTGGCAGGAATTTCCGGCATGGTGATGAGGTCAATGGGGTATTTTGAGAACGTGCAACCAAATCATATAGAAATGGTTATCACTGGCATGTTGGATTCTCAATATGTGATTTTCAAGGTCTGTTCAGAAAGTTGGAAACACCGATTTACAGAACAGCATATGACCTATCCTTAACGAAAACGTAGTATGAAAACATTTATTGTCGACCAGATGAATGTGAAATTTGTTGTATTACAAATAAAGTAAGAAAGGGTGTGTATGTGTGTGTTTGTGTGTGTGTGTGTGTGTTCTATTAAAATGTGTTCCCCCTAGTTTTCTTTGATATATTCAAAGGAAATGAGTAAAGCAGAAACCATACATTTTCAACAAACATGCTGATTTGGAATGGTCTCCATCCCAAACTTTTAAACTAGTCACAAAGCTTTGGGGAACTCCATGTACTAATCAGGTTGTTAATATGATTTGTGAAGTTTCAAAATACAGGCTTTAAGGCATCTGCACCATTCATTCGACCAACCTGACTAGCTATCTCTGAAGCTTTTTTGGCATGTTGTATTTCAAGGGTGTCGGTGTCGACTTGCATTCCCTTCCCTTTAATTTTTGACTCCAGGTCTTTCTTGTATTCTTTCTGTAAGAAAAAAAAAAAAAAGCAACATTTTATAATATTCAGACTCTCTGGGGACAAACCTGTATCTGTAATCAATGATACTAAAAAATCACTGAACATATTTTAAAAAAACACATTTTACTTTGTACTATGAAATGATACCTAGAACTAAATTTTCTGGACTGCTTAGAACTGTATCACTATTCTCACTGAAGAAGGATGCATGAAGCTCCAAAGCTTTTTACTATACATGCTGAGAATCTTCACTGACAACTGTTTTGGGGGCTGGAGGATAGGGAGGCAGGTTTCAATGAGTTGATGCTGTAGAAAGAAGGCTGACTAGGAGACCAGAGCACTCAATTGTTGTGTGACACTGGGAATGTTTAACATTTCCAGTTTACTCATCTGCAAAATGGGGGCAAGAACATAACATAGTGCTCAGCACATAGTAGGTGTTCAATAACTGATAGCTTGTTTTGGGCTTTTACTCCTATACTCATAGGCTAAGGCTGATTTACTGTTGCCCCTGCCACAATCGTGCCATTGTGCTGTGTCTGGACGGACTCTGCCACTGAGAGTCTAAAATGATTTTCCCTAGTATTACTGACAAACGATTACAAGATCTACCTCTGAATGTGGACTGCACATGTCACCATAACAGAAGAATCTGTACAGAATTACTAACTTAGGAATATGTGATGACAATATTAGCCAAAGACATCATAGTGGCTTTTAATGCTTTAATTTATTTAAAGAACACGGATATAGCCAAAGATGATTGTAAATTTTTTTAAAACACATAACAATTTTGAATCTTTTTTTTAAAGATTTTTTATTTGTTTATTTGAGATTGAGAGAGAGAGAGCATGAGCAGGGGTCAGGGAGAGGGAGAAGCAGGCTTCCCACTGAGCAGGAGGCCGATGTGAGGCTTGATCCCAGGACCCTGGGATCATGACCTGAACTGAAGTCAGACACTTAACTGACTGAGCCACCCAGGCGCCCCTTGAATTTTTTATACTTAGAATGCAATTAAATTACCAAAAAAGTTAACTGAACAAATGAGTGACCATGAGAACCATACCAGATCATCAGCATTCCTCTGGCCCCAGACACAATGATCAGGGTGGGAGTGGACACAGCATAGAAGCTGATCCAGTGAGATTCAATCCTAGAACCTTAACTGTAATTGTAAGAAATAGATGCTCACTTCCCACTGGGATTACTGGCACAGATAGGAATTATCCTAGTGTTAGGAGGGGCCATCACTTGGAGATGGGCTCCCAAGGTTGAAGCAATAGAGAAGATAACAGAGCTGAGTGAAGAAGGAAGAGAGACTTCATTTGAATTCCAACCTGAAGGAAACTTGACTTTGGACTTCTCTATTCATAAGCCAAAATATTCCCTTTGTTCCTTTACCCAGTTTGAGTTGGGTTCCTATCATCTGCAGCCTGACTAATAGGGTCACTGTCATCACCATCACCTCAGTTTATGAACCTATGGGGACACAGCTTTACATTTCTCATTGCTTAGTTCAGCTAGACTCTCCTCAAAGCGCAGAGCCATTATCTGATACCAAAGGAATGACATAACACACGGATGAAAGGACTGAGAGCACCTCACAGGCATTTCATTCCTTTCCACAAGTGCCATGTAAAGTGAGCAACGATCACTCTCGCTTCATAAAGAGCTTTATGTGGGCTCACTGAGCAGCCAAGGCAAGGGCTGGGGGCTCCGCTGGGTGGGGAGCAGGAGAGCATGTGAACCGCACTGCAGTAACTGACAGAGCTCGACAACACAAGTTCCCAATCCTCTGCCTTTCACTTCCTTGAAAAATCAACTTGAATCTCCTACAATTATTCTGGTTTATTATATACATTTTTCTCTACACAGGGGAATGGTCGATTTTTCTCACACCACATGGAAAGCAGATGGTGAACATCTTTTTTATTTTATTTTATTTTTCTTTAATTCCTTGACTGGGAAATGACTACTAGGACATAGCTACTTATCATCATCTTGCACATTAAAGTTATGGAATGTATATAAATCTTTGAGAAAGATTTACAGACAAGGAAGTCAGCTGAAACTTCATACATTCTCAGTTGCTAAAAATATACACTCACCTCACTAGCCATTTCGGATGCACGTTTTGCTCTTTGAATATCAAGAACATCTGAGTTAAGTTCCATTCCTTTGCCTTTTATTTCATTTTCCAAATCTTTCTTATATTCCTTCTATGAGACAAGAACATTACAGTTCAAAATTTCCTGGGACACCCTTTAACTGATATACCATGTCACATGCTTTCTAGAGACCACAGAAAGGAGAAAATATTTCTAGAGAGGAATGAATCAGACTCCTGAGTATTTATGCTCCTAATTTTCTACAGAGACTCTATTTTCTCTTTTAGTCATGTTTAGCGTGGTTTCCAATTTTATCAGGATTTTCCCTTTCATCCTGTCTTCCATTTTGGTCCATATTGGCGCCATATTTTAAAAAGATGTCTTCCTTTTAAGTGGTGAGGAAGATCTTAGGAATGGATGCTTCTTATTAATTATTTGAAGTATTTCTTTGAAAGCTGTCTATAAAATATGAATCACCAAAAGATCATAGTTGAAAATTACAAAATCAAAAGGATTGATGTAGCCAAAGTTAAAAAAAAAAATCCACTTTATTCAGATTCATAAAACCAAGTAATTTCCTACAGACTGATAATACATAGTTTGAATGTCTTCTATTTTAATATTATATTTTAAGTAGATCCAAATGTCTCTACTAATACTTATATATAACTTGGGGTTTTTGTTCTGCTAATGAATTTTTTTTTCCTACTAAATGCATTATGGAAACAATATATATCTTGATCCAATTCAGCTGAGTTGCACTTATGACTAACTTGCCAGATAAAAGATGAGGCTTCCTTTAATAATAAGAAGTCATGTTCCAGTAAATTCTAGGGTTCATTTGATGTTATTTTCTCTTTGTCCATTATAATTAAATTAGCTACTGCTCTGCTTAACTAATAGCCTACAAGAAATTGTAATGACCTGAATGTAATTTTGGAAAGAGCTCTGGGGTCAAATGACCTGGATGAAAGTTGGAATTCCTTCACTTATTTGGCCATGGGACCTTCAAAAGACTTTAAGTAACTGAGCCTTAATTTCCACACACACAGGCAAAATGAAAATAAAAATACTTATTCTACCAATGTCAAAGGGCAATTGGGGGGATCAAATGAAATGAAAGTATAAAACAATACTTTGAACATTCTGAATGGCAATATAGGTGTAAAAACCATAACAAAGTAAAAACTGCAAAGACAATTTAAAGCTAAATGTGTATACTTAGAAAAGTTATAATTTCATTAAGTCACTGAGAGTTCCTTTTTTAAAATTAGACCTTTCTATAATGAATTAAAAGATGTTTAATCATAGTTTTATGAGCCCTTTATTCAAAATTAAAAAAAAAAAACTAACTGCTATAAAACTATTTATAGAGCTTTTGAGGTACAAACACAAAATCAGAATATTTTTCAAGTTTTTCCAGAAACTAGGTGATTTCTTCCTCCAACTTTAAAAGGAAGTGTTAACACACACTTTCCTATTTTTAATGAAATTACAAACTCTGTTAATAAAGGTCAAAGTGAGAGAAAGAGGAATGGATTAACATCTCAAACAGTTAGTAGGGAATTTTGGAGTAAATATTTCCTGGGTCACTTCTTTAGTTTTCTTCCACAATATTTAATAGTAAATCACAAGATCCTACCTCTTTCAGAAGGTTGGTGATGTACTTTACATGTAAAAATTCTGGAGTCTTGTCTAAATCCAGTGATGACCTTCCTTTAATCTCCTTCTCAAAATCCTCTCTGTAAACTTTCTGTTAAATAAGACCGCATAATTTGAAATTTAGAAAATATTCATCACTGTTGGAAAAGTATTAGAACAAGAGTTCCCAGAACAAAACTGAGGCTTGTCTTATATAATTCTACCACCTCAGAATCTTCATAGCCACAAGAAAATCACTCCAACTTTACCATAAATTTTAGAATTCTACCAAACAAAAGCAGAATCATCAAGTACCAACCGCCTCCCGGAAAGCACCCGGAGTGAGGCTGCTTAACACCTTACTAGTCTGTCATTGTTTAACCCCAGCCAGATTGGAGAGGAAAGCCAGTAAAGTTGGTTATTTGAGAATCACCGGACTGGTTCATTCTAAAGGGAATGGATCCATCCACCAGAAGAAAATCTGGCTGCATGGAAAGCCATTCAAAGCACAGTAGCCTAAATGTTGAGGTTCCCATCACCCATTTCACTGTTAGCCTTTTGTGAATGTGGCAAAGACCATCTCTTAAATGTAATGGAGGCTGGAGCACATTTTCCTTTAATGATTTTGGCACTGAGACTATTTCTCTACCATCTGTGAATTAAGTTACACTGTGAGGAGTCTTATCTTCAACCTGATAAATTGTTCTCTAGGTAGGAGTTCACAGCAAGGAATGGAAAGGGGAGGCAGTGATTGTGGAGGGTGGACATTCACACCCCCACCTCCCTTTTGACATTCTCGGCCACCCTTTGGCTAAGATTCCCTCAATTCCAGCATTTGAACTATAGATTTGAAAACCAATGGCAACTCGCACTTTAGGACTAAAAGACAGTCTCTCTAAATAACAAAGATCTCCATCCATGTAGAATATTTACCAGACACACAAAAGCCAATATTTTACCAACTGAGTATTTTATTCAAATTCCATCACAAAAACGATAAAAATAAATTCTGCATGAGACTGTTATTAATGCAAAACAAAAGGCCATTTCCAGGTTCATAATATACTTATTACAGAGATAGTTTAATATTTCATGATTTGGGAGAATTTCTCCCAAATCATGAGGGATAATAAGAGAGGCTTGTTGTTGCCTCCCCTACATTTATGTCACATACAACTATTTAACAAATGATCTGTGAAGAGCCACAAAAAAATTTAATTTAATTTAATTTAATTTAATTTAATTAATTTAATTTTAAAAAGGTCATAATAGATGTCCTGGAAACACTAAAATTTAACAAAGTGATTATTAAGAAATTGCACTGAGAACATTCTGAGTTAAAGGAACTATAGATATTCCCAAAGAACACTGAGAAATCACCCTCTTCTTTATGTGGAACTAACTGAAATTATATGGTTATAAGGCTGAATCTAGGGCATTTCCAAGCCAAAAATGTCTTTTTAAAAAAGCAAAAATAAAAATTTGGGTATCTTTATTTATTTCAGATAATTCACTACAAAAAGCCCTTCTCCTATTAAAAACTTATTTTGCTGAAATAAGTCATTAAAGAAGGTTGATAATGACTGGAACTGGCCAATACATGACTGGGCGAAAAAAACAAAAAAACCTTTAGTATGCTTTTTATGAAACAGAAGACAAAGAACTTTCTTTTCAAAGCCAGATTTAAAGACTCCTTCTAGAAAACACACTGATTAAACCTATATCTGGCATTTGAAGAAAAGTGAGAGAAGCATAATTATAGGCTATCCCCGACATCATAAACACTTAGCTTTACCCAGAGAAGGCTCAAGAAGCTCTTTGTCAAGCTTACCTCGTAGGAATAAAAGCCATCTGTAAGCCAGACATTTCTCTTTGTGTCCACTTCATTGGCCCTACATTTAAAGGCATCTTTCACATCATCCTTCGTCTAAGAGTTTTAGATATTTTATGTTTCTAGCCTTTGGAGCATAAATTTTGTCTAAAGATATTTTCGACTGAAAGATTTCTCTCTCCTCAAACTCTGCTGAGCAGAAATATAACTGCTGAACTTAAAAGTCTAATAGCCAGTGGCTATAATTAAAGGGAAAACATGTCTCAGCCTCTGCAAAGGATAATTTCCCCCTAGTAACAACAGCAGAAATCAGAATAGCAAAAATTGAAAGCCAATATCAACAAAAGGCCCACATAGCCCCCGATGTAAGTGAATTCCATAGCATGTAATAAATGTATTACTAAAGCTGTTTGCACTTGATATCAAAACAGCCAATCAGAAAGAACTGATCTGGGGTGGGTTTTTCTTTTTCAGTTGTCAATATTTTATTTTCCTTTTGTACCATGTAGCCATAGCAAGGGTAAAAGCAAAGGGCTAGGTATCAGACTTCCAAGATCGGCACAAGGAAACATGCCTACATAGAACAATAGCACTTTTTCAGTACAGAAGCTATCTTTAAAGTCCCTGTCATCTGTATAGTGATATTTGCTCTTGGGGAATCTATCTCTTTTGAGGATCTACCCCCAATTGAAAAAAAAAAAAATCAACTGAGCATTTCATATAAAGAAAAACAACTTGGTCTACTTTGCCCACTGAATCTCTGAGAAGCAGATTATCTGTATATTTTGGGTTTGCTTGTTTTTTAAATCCATCTGGTTTTTATGACTTTAAGTTAGGGGACGATTTGTTTTCTTCAATGCGTCTATGTTTATCAAAGTATGTTCGCGGGACCACCAACATCAGAAGTTCCTGGGATGTTGTTAAATACGATTCCCAGGCTCCACTGCCAGACTCATGAAGGACCTCCTGAGGCAGCAGCATGGGGATGTGCATTCCCAACATGCTTCCCTGAGACTTATCCACAGAGAGTTTGAGTACTATAGCCATGGGGAGAAAGAAGGAGAGGGAAAAGGGGGTCTTCAGAAGAGAAAATATGGAGAGGATCAAGGAGAGGAAAACAGGGTAACATTTCCCACTGTGAGTAAGAAAAGAAGATGTAGCACAAACACCTAAATAATAATAGCCTGGGGCTGACAGGAAGAACACAGAAAGCCCACTCTGAAGGTGCTGGTCTTCTCCTTAAAGGACGAGGCATGACTATCAGTGAGAGCTGGGGGACCAGGAGGAGAGCGAGGTGAGAACTAACACAGGCCACAGGCTCTGGAGGCTCAACCTGGATGCTCAACCCAGAGGTTGCCTTCCAGTAACAGCGCAGTACTTTACATACTATTCTCGAAACACAGAAAAGGTGATATGGACTGAATGTCTGTGTAACCCCAAAATCTATATGTGGAAATCCCAGCCCACCTTCAATGTGATGGATGCGTTTGGGGGTGGGGCCTTTGGAAAGAGATTAGGATAGATGAGGTCATGAGGGTGGAGCCCTCATAATGGGGTTAATGCGCTCAAACACTTCGGGAGAGAACACGCCTCCCCTCTCTACTCTCCACCATGTGAAGACACAGCAAGAAGACAGCAAGAAGTCACCCTAAAGACAGTCTCACCAGAACCCTGACCTGCTGGCATCCTGAGCTTGGACTTCCAGCCTCCAGAACTGTAAGATATAAATTCCTGTTGTTTAAGCCACCCAGTCTGTGGTACTTGGTTAATAGCGGCCAAAACTGACTAAGACAAAGATAGTCCAGTAAAAGTTATCCCATTAAACGTAAGTTGTAGTCGGGCTTCTGAACTATGACCAAATTTACATCTCTGCCAATTCAGTTAAAACAAACAGCTAATTTCATCAAAATATTCACCAATTTCTTGATTAAACTCCTCTCTATTGGCTTAAGAAGCTATGAGATATGGGGCGCCTGGGTGGCTCAGTTGGTTAAGCGACTGCCTTCGGCTCAGGTCATGATCCTGGAGTCCCGGGATCGAGTCCCACATCGGGCTCCCTGCTCGGCAGGGAGTCTGCTTCTCTCTCTGACCCTCCTCCCTCTCATGCTCTCTGTCTCTCATTCTCTCTGTCTCAAATAAATAAATAAAATCTTTAAAAAAAAAAAAAAAAGAAGCTATGAGATATGAAAAATACAAGTAATTTTCTCCTTTCTTGCTTGAAGAAGAAATTAAACAACTTGGACAATTCAACAAGCCACAGTAATGTCTGAGTGCCCTTTCCCTGAGAAGATGAATTACTATACACAGCAGCATAAATAGCAACAAATAGCACATATGTTGCTTTCAAAATTCCTAGGAGAGTTTCATTGTCCAGAAGTTATCATTTCTCTCTGTTTGGGTGTTGTTATTGGAGAACAGAAAAGATGGTGCCCACCGAGCACACTTGGCCTGGGGCCATAATCGGCTGATACTGCTGTCTGCTATTTCTGTCCCTTTGAAGTAATAACTTGGTGTACCCACAGAATCTGGATGTTGGCTGCAGAGTAAACCTTCTGTGTCTGGTGTCTGGTCCCAAAAAATGTAGGGAAAAAAAGAACAGAAGAAATCTCACTAGGACAGAGCAAAACCATTCGGGGAATATCTGGATGTGATTCAGCATCATTTTAAGTAGAACACAAAGTGCATATACACAAAAAAATCTTAACTGCTCTCTTCTCTTGATATTTTAAAACTTCCATGTCACTGTCTGGAGGGGGTGGGGGGACGTGGGGGCAATCAACTAAATAAGTGAACAGAGAAAAGAGAATCACTCATGACTTGACCAGGTCCTAAATCATTGGCATTTACTGGATATGTGATTTCAGATAAGACAATTAATTTCAGTGGATGATTATCAATTTAGGGATATGCACACCTAGCATCATTACCTTGAGGGGATTAAATGAGCTGACATATATAAAGCCTTAAGCAAACTGCTTAGCACAGAGTAAGTATTTAATAAATGTTAGTTCTATTGTCACTGAAAAATAAAAGGTAAATAAAGCAACCAGCTCTTCATTTTCTTTCTACTCATCATAGATTTATACGGACACAACCTGAAAGTGTCAACTTTATAATCATAGAATGTGAAAGGGCGGTTAAGAGCTCACCTGGCCTGATATTGTATTTGCCGAATGAGAAAAACTAAGGGCCACAGAATCTCAGTGACCCAGACAAGATGCTGGATCTAGAATGGAGATTCCCCCGTCTTCCTGGGCAGTGTGCTTTCCTCTAGACCCACTCAACATTCTGAATTATTTTACTAGTTCCTTTCAAATGATAAAACATCAAAAATGCATCAAATAGTTGATAACAGGGGCACCTGGTTGGCTCAGTTGGGAGAGCATGTGACTCTTGATCTCAAGGTCGTGAGTTGGAGCCCCAAGTTGGGTGTAGAGATTACTTAAAAATAAATAAACTAAAAAAAAAAAAACAGTTCATAACAAATCAAAGGGACTCACCTCACTCTGCATCTTCTGAGCCTCCTTTGAAGCTTGATATGAGGGTGTCTCAACAAATTCAAGCATTGATTTTCCCTTATTTTTCTCATACTCTTCTTTGTATTTAACCTTCATTGAAAAAAAGTATAAAAAGCACATAAAGCTCATAAGCCCTTATGCAAATAGAGCAAAGTAAAATAAATATATCCAAAATTAATCATCCTACTTTCTAATATCATATTATTCTGGCCATTTGGGTTGGTCACTGGGTTCCCTGTGGTAAATGACATACAAAAAAAGTAAACAGGTAATATATAAAAATATTTAAGGAATAAAAATAATTTATAACTACGAAATGTAGTTCTAGGACTTGGATGAAGTAAATAGCTGCAATATATAGCTATATCTCATATTTGGGGTTAATATGTATATGCTCATGGTATACACATATATACATAGAGACAGAGACAGAGAAAGAGAGAGATCCCTGTGATGGCTTTGAATGTCAATCAGTAAATCATGAACAAGGAGGAAAACATAGGTGTGATTCTCTGTCTTCCTATCAAAGGGAAGACAGTGTTATCTGGGACTGCTGACTTCTTCCATAGACACTGGGTAATACAGAGAGCTTTTATGTGATTGTTTTCAGTTTCACCCTGCATTATTTAATAATATCATATCATGAATTATTTATTTCAATTACAACCAATCTCCATCTTATTTTAGTTTATAAAATGATCGATATTTTCTATCTCTTAGTAAGAGAAACTAGAATTATATGTAAGCTGTCAGAGTGATCGGCTTTTCTTAGCAATATACCTTTTAAAATTAAATTCACAGAAAAGTTTTGATCATGATTCATTTCATTCAGAAATGTATTTTCATTAAAATTCTTATGTGTAAATAATTTTTTGAAATTGTTTCTTAAATTATATAATAATAGTAGTTTTAATGATGATTAAATCCAAAAGCAGTTTTTCAATACTTAGAACTTTGTGGTAGCAGGAAATGTAACAGGTTTTTAAATTCCTATTTGTAGGCTTATTTTTGTTTCAGAGAAGTATGATAGAGTGATCAATGAAAGTGTTTGAAGTGTAGTAACATACTAGGATATGTAATAACATATGCCAGGATAAAACTTTGTGGGAAAAATTAAATGAAAATAAGAATACAAAGAGAAAAAAAATGTACGTTTCCAAACTTTAAAGGAGAGCCAATTTGGTTTTTTTTAATGAAGGTGGGTATCAAATCATTAAGGAATTTATGTTCCACAGGATACATTTAATGGAGTGATGTAAAATTATATCTTAATAGATTCTGGAATGACATCTTTTGCAACTACTGAAACTCAGAATAAAATAATGTATAGGTAACACCTCTAAAGTGTGCAGGGAAGATTTTTTTTTTAATTTCTGTCAGGGAATACATAGAATTTTATAGTTGAAAGAAACATTAATTAATGTAAGGTAATTTTTAATAACACTTCTAACTGATCTGAGAAATTCTAATAAATTTCGCACCTGGAAAATTAATTTCACAGCTCACGATAACAAATGAGTGCACTATAAAAACTGAAATCCTCATGAGATTTGGTCATTGTTTAATTAATTGATATATCATAAGTTTAAAATTGTGTGGAATAACTTATTTTATGAAATGCTTTTACACTGAAACATAGTTCCAGCTTTCCCACCCCAGTCATATAGAGAGAGTAGTGTCTGAGATTTTCTGAAGCGATGTTCACTTTCTCAGGAGGTACATTCTATTCAGCAGCCGCACCTTCTCAGTGGAGGTGCATGGCAGTGAGTGGCTAAAGGGTCCCGACAGGAAGGGCGCACACCTGACTCTGGAGCGTGGCATTGCCTTTATGGTGCAGGTGTTCAGGAGCATCCGCGTCAAAATGATACATTCCTTTGTTTTCCTCAAAAAGCTTTCTATACTCTCGCTAAAACAGAGAACATGAACATAAATTCAGAATAAAAGAGACGAATTAGAACAACCATTACTTAGGAATGCAAACTGAAAAATACAAGCCAACAAGAGCTGCAAAGCTATCAAGTCCCATTGCAGTGGGCTGCTCTTGTAGATTACTGACACTGAGTGAAACGGGCAATGCACCATAGACCAGCAGCTCTAGGTGGTCAATATGAGACACCCTAGAGAAGCAGGGGACAATTAGCTGTCAAAACAACGTAAAAGACGCTGGGGAGTGGCAACGGAAAAGCCAGTGATGGGACTAAAGTGAACAAGCAAGGTGGGCAAAATAAAGGTGATTTGTCCAGGCTTATCCTAGAACAGAAATGTGTTTGATAGTGCCTACAAGAAGAGAAGGAAAGAAAAGAAGAAAGAACAGAACAAAAGAAAGCTGGAGGCGGGAAAAGAAAGAAGTTGTGCATGAGGGTTCAGCCTTGAGGAAGACTGACGGGTCATAAGGAAAATAAGAGAGTGAGAAATAATTCAACTAATTTTCCTAAAAAGGGAGGGTAGGAGGTACCTGAAAGAGAAATAGAAGAGTCTGGGTATAGTTCATTGAATTTTTAAGGTGAAGAAATTGGATTAAGACTATTATTTAGAGACACAGACAAAGTGGTGAATTTGGAAGAGACGCCAAATCTGGCAACCGTGGGACACCAAATACAACAGGCCGCGATGAAACAAAAATTGCTTTGTAATTTCTTTCATTGGAGACCGGACACTTTGTTATTTCACCCTATTTGGAAAAGACTTCTAGAGGTAAATGGTAACTCTTCAAAGACTCAAGGCTTCCGAGACTTCAGCTAAAGCTGGCTGCTCGTTCAGCAGTGAGGATTTCAGGGAAAATGGCAATGTTGTAGGATGTAAGAAGTAAGCCGCATTTTGAAAGGGAGTGGGAAAGAGCTGGCCAGAACAGAGCTGACATTCGGGTCGCTGCTCCAGGGATCTGAGAGTGAATCAAGAAGAAGCCCAGAGCCAGGGATGGGAAGGATGGATGCACACGAAAATGGCTGTTCCATGGGGACACAGCGTCAGTCCCCAGAGGCACTTCTGGGTGATTAGAGCACTAAGATGTGTGTCCCCCAAAACTCTAGCCAGAATAAAGTGAGGGAGTAAAATGCCCCAGGAAACTCATGAAAGTGTTCCCGTAGTACATCTGTCAAGAAGAGAACGAGCTCGGGCGCCTGGGTGGCTCAGTCGTTAGCATCTGCCTTCGGCTCAGGTCATGATCCTGGGGTCCCAGGATCGAGTCCCACATCGGGCTCCCTGCTCGGTGGGAGGCCTGCTTCTCCCTTTCCCACTCCCCCTGCTTGTGTTCCTGCTCTCGCTGTCTCTCTCTGTCAAATAAATAAAATCTTTAAAAAAAAAAAAAAAAGAAGAGAACGAGCTCTAAATTTTGGCTCCTGTGCTAATTAGAAAAAATAAATAAATAATCTCAAAGAATAACAGTATACTTAGAGACTTTATAATTTACTTAAAAGTTAGTTTATAATATGCAAATAAAATAATCATGAATTGAACATAACACACTAGAATATACTCCATACCAAGTTAAAATCCAGAACTAGTAAAGCCTAGGATATTATGTCTGCAATAATGGATATAGACTAAGGAAAGGTCAATAAATATTGTCCCCAATGATCTATTTTAGTGACAGAGAATTTCAAAAACTCTTATTTAAAAAACAAAAAACAAACAAAACGTGTTTGAAGGAAGATCTGCAAAAGAATTTTCAAGACCCGCTGTTCCTTATGTAATAGTCTCTGTTGCCTCCTAGTGGGAACGACACAGAGTAACATGCACTACATATTTTTCCATTTATGCAAAGTTATAAAAGAAATCGAAAGCTAGTAGAGCTCTATTTTCCAGGGGGAAATGGTCCTTCAAAACTTGAGTTAGTACAGCTGTTCAAACTCAAAAGGATTAATTTTACTCTACATACTATGTGTTAAAAAAAAAAATGGTGATTTGTACCAAAGACATTTACAGGTCTTTAAAAAAACAGCCATTTATAACCAACTGACAACTAATTTTGGCAGAATGTCTATTAAGCACTTTCTTATTCAATCTTTTGCTAAAATTAAGTTGCCTTTATAAATCAGCAAGATTCCAATTCTCCCCACATTAAAATCTAAAAGAGGGCAATTCTAATATACGATAAATTTTAGCCAATGTATTATCATACAACTTTTATAAACAGACATTCCGCGTAACATATTTGAGTCTTAAACTTTCTCTCCCATGAAGTAATTATTCAGTCACAATTTTTCTATGGAGGAAAAAAATCTATAATCTAGGCAAAAGCACCACCTGAACCAAATTTAAACTTTTAAAATGGTATATACAATAAATGTAATATATGACTTTGCTGAATTTCCCGGCTGAAGTGGTGATAGGAACAATTTATATTAAGCTGTGATTTTTTTTGCCATATAAAACAAAGGTCAATATTCTTGAAGAAAATATTGCCTAGGAGTGGCATGTATTCTTCCAGCTACCAAATTTTTAAATTACCACCATGATATTTTTACTGTCTTATTTGTGCACAAATCCTCATGTCCTCAGGAAATTTAACTCAAGTATGGATGGAGAATAGTCAAGGGCAGATGCCACTCAGTGATCAAAATGGGATGGCAAAGACTAAAAGTGAAGAAAGCAGCAGACTCTGAGAATAGAAACGTACCGACTTTTAGAAATATCCCTATGAATCATAGAGGAAAACGTGAACCTAAAAGGGCCACTTGAGGAGCAGAGAAATGTGTGCAGAAGTGGGAGGATGAGACTTGAAATGGCACGAAGCGTGAACGAAGTATGCCGGACCTGAATCTAATTCTGCACCTGATAGTCCTCTATGCCTCCTTGCCTGCCCAACAGACAGCAAGAATGACAGACTGCTTTTCTTCCCAAGACCAGGGATAAAAGTCAGTTAATTAATTTTAAAATCTGTGAGTATGAATTATTTACACATGTAATCCATTTCAAGAAGGATGACATTGTTGGAGAAAGGAGGATTACAAAATAATGAACAGAAGTTCCAACACATCAAAGCCAAAGGTAGACATTTTTAAACCTGAATTGAAGCTGTATCTCATTATTCAATAGTTTGGGAATCAGGTCTGGACTACAGATTTTTTTTTTTTTTAATCCAGGACTGTGAGCATATCTCCTGAAGACAATTGTTTTCAGATTCCTTTCCCAACAGAATTTTCCATCTGATCATACCTGGCCGAAAGCAGATATTCAATACATCTGCATAATTTTGATCGAGTGAGTGAGCCTGTAATTATTAAAACAGGTGCAGAAAAGACTCGAGGTCAAATTACAGTACATCATCACCATGGGCCATTCTGAGACGTCGGCAATGGGGAACAGGTGAGCCGGGGCCATCAGTTTGAGAACCGGTGAAGTCAGGGTCCGCACACACTAAGTGTTTGAAACAACAGCTAGGAGGTGAGTTCTGATGGAACGACCACTTGGCAGTGTGCACAAATACTTTCATTAGGACATGAAAAAAACACTGGCTCCCCCTAATTGCTCTGAAGAAAATGTGGAAACCCTCACAAGACTAAAAGTAGAGTGTCAATGTAATGTAGGATTTATTTTCAGGGAAAATACAAATTAGACTAAGACAATTTTGTATGTTACCGGGGCCGAGTATCAGACACTCTGCTCTAACCTGCATAAAATAAAAGATCCTTGATTTAAGCCTGACCTTCAAGTAGCTTCAATCTAACTGGGAAGAAGAAAGAAAGAACACTTGTCCATGCACTTTGAAGCGTAGGTGTTCAACAAGAAAGTTTGCATTCAAGAGATGTTAAAGAGCTAGCAAGAACCCCCTTTGTAAAGCGACAGCTTTGGTGGGATTTAAGCAAGCTGGCCACTACTTTCCAATGAGTTAGTTATCCACGGAGGCGTGGCGCCCTGGAAGGAAGGAGGTGTGCTCATGAGAACTGCAGGCATCCCGGCTCCGTGGAGACACACGGCATCTCTAGTTGCCATCCAACAAACTTACTCGGCTGAGCATTTTGCTGGTTTTCAAAGCCTGGTCTAAAAACAGGTTTGGGAGATCTGAGACTGGCTCGTGCATACTTTGAATGTCTTTCTTGTACTTCACCTATGAAAATAACATGGAACAAAATACCATCTAGGAGAAGAAAAGGTGCTTTTGCATTATCGCCATCATTATTTTTAATACATCATAAAGTACCGTTTAGTGGTAAATTAGCAGGCGAATTTACAAGTAGCCACTAGATGGTGCTAATTTACTACTGAATGAGTAAAAAAGTTACTTCTGGGGACTTGAACATATTTTGATAATTGCTTTTATTGTTTACATATTTCAAAAGGGTGGTGTTCAGAGAATCAAGTAATTTTAATAGACATTCTGTTTTCAAAACAAAAAGATTAGCAACTGTATTCTTTAGAAATTACTACCTTATTTTAATTACGCTTTGGAGCAATTTCAGGGCTTTTGGTGTTTTTCATCCTGTTGCCTTATAGACCTTTTTCTTTTTTTACCAACTCTTTTGAAAATATAATAATATTAGTACTCATCATATTAAAATATTAATACAAAATATTTGATCACGTATTGTGTGATCAAACCACTTTGCAGGTAGACACGTAGTACATATTTAATCTCCACAACGACCCGAGTGGAGAGGTACTTTAAGTATCTCCATTTTACAGATATGTAAACTGAGGCACAGAAAGATGCAGGTGTAGTATTAGGAGGTAGAACAGGATCCAAATCCAACCAATCTGATTCTAAACCTCGTGCTTCCAAGCACTATGCTCTAGGTTCCTTTAAGTGTATTCCAAATCTATTTGCTTTACACTTTTACACACACACACACACACAGGATAAAAACAAATAAGAAAAGGAAACCATTCTGATATTCCCAGTGATCCCAAAAGACCCATTTCAACTGTTGGTAACAAACACAAGTGAGTTAAGGAACACAAATAACAATACCTACTAAACATCAGTGAAAGTAAGATATGCTCAGTCCCAACCACCTGGCAGGAGTTGAAAGGTTTAAGGGATCTAACAAAGCAACAGTTCAACAGTTCTTCATCGTAATACGTGTAAAGGTACTCCCTACACCCTTCAACAATAGCAAAGTGGTCCATTTTTCCCCGTTTCTGTTTTTACATTCTGCCTAATTCTAATAAAAGTTTAAGGCATCTTTCCTTGTAAACTGAAACTTGATTATTTTTTTAAAACATAGGACGAAACCAAATCTGTGAAGAAGTATTTCACAGCATTTACATAAGGGATAGGAAAGAAGCCATAAGCCGTTACAAGTGCAACTTCTGAAATTTTCTTTATTATAAACTACCATGTACTAGGTTGTACTTTACAGAAGCCCAATTGCCTGGGTATAATTACATGAGTTAACTATTGTCACAACCACTAATTTAAGATACTACACACTACTTTTTTTGCAAAACTCTGTAATCTATTTCTACTCTTGATCACATATAATAGTTTTATTAGCAATACTATTCTTACTTATTAACTAAATAGCAATCAGTAACCATTAATAGTAACTTACAATAATACATGTTTCTCAAAAGGCTTCAGGAAAATATGCTTCAGGGTTTTCAATTAAAATTACTTGGAAACTACATGATCTTGATTAAGTATAAGTTATTGCAATACACTCAGATTCTGAAAAAACAAGAATCAAAAGATATTGAAAATAATTTTCTATGAATCACAAGTCATGAGGTACAAAGTAACTTACATCGCTCACCAGTGAGGTGGCAAGCTGACTTTGCCTAAAAGAAGCATTTTCAAGAGGATTGTAATGATGTTTCTTAACCTTCATTTCATTATCAAATTTTTCTTTGTATTTAATCTGCCATAAAAGAAAAAAAAAAACAGCGTAAATTAAATAGCACATTTATCTTTAAACTTTCAGAATGACACAGCTGATTTTTAATTAGATCAGATAAAAGTTACCTTAAAAACAAATGGTAGAAAAGTTTAAATTCATGGTATTTTTCCCCTGGTAAAGCTTAATTAGGCATAAAAAATTTTTTTATGGAAAAACCATCTCTACTTGAACATTGATCATAAATGCAATTAGGCATGAACTCAAATCCTATTAACAAGAATTATACACTAATATCTCAGGATTTTTAAATGTCAGTTTCCATTTCTGCACTCTTATAATCTATGATGAATTAGAAATTGAGACCACAAATGAATGAAAGTCTATTACATTTAGAAAATGGAACCTGAGCCCCAGCATTTGAATATGAATTTTCCTGAGGGAATTATTCCAAATACAGGACATGGTTTGGACTACAGTTTTTTCTCATCATTTCCCATTTGTTCAAAAATTCATTTTTAGGGATTACATTTTCTGAAATGTCCTGGGTCTATTTAATGTCAATTTTTATTCCTCTGCTTCAGCTCTCCGCAGTTGTATTCAGCAGCAAACTATCTGTAACATGCACTCTGAATTACTTTTTCTCCTTTTTAAAGTAGTCTTAGGGCAATCCAAGAAAGGATTATCCACTTATCCTACAGAACTATATAATTCTCTATGGATAGAGAAATATGTGAAGGTAGGTTATGATAACTATCTGAAATATAGATACAAATTCTTTACCAAAAACAAAAACAAAAAAACTAGTTACTCAAATCTCACACCTTGTTGGGTGCCTGTCTCCAGGAAGGGATGCACAGACCTCAAAAGCAGAACTATTTTGTTCTCTTGTCATAGTTCTACACTATTACAATTCTCATCATATTTTGTGTCCTTACAGGATTCTCATAATGCACCTTTATTCATACATCTTAAAGCCCTGCCTCGAAGTAATTTTTATTAAGAAGCAATTTGGGAATGGCTCACATTATCTATTTTAATCGAGTGTATATTGGGTGACGTCTTCTTCAAGGACACATGTCTGATACCTGTGGGAGGGAGATAGCTAGTGAAAATCTTGGGGGGAATACATTTGGAAAAGATTCCAACATGGTTTACAGGACATATTTTCTGTTGAGGTTCTTTTTTTTTTTAAGATTTTCTTTTCTTTTTCTTTTTCTTTTTCTTTTTCTTTTTTTTTTTTTTTTTGACAGCGAGAGAGGGAACACAAGCAGGGGGAGTGGGAGAGGGAGAAGCAGGCTTCCTGCTGAGCAGGGAGCCTGATGTGGGGCTCAATTCCAGGAACCCAGGATCATGACCTGAGCTGAAGGCAGAGCCTTAACGACTGACTGAGCCACCCAGGCGCCCCCTGTTGCGGTTCTAACTGCTAATAATAGCTTTCTGATTTTCACATTGTCTTACAAATTCAAGCAAAACCTCATTTATTCTAATAGTTTGGGAAGGACTCTATAAAACAAGAAAAAAATCTGATTTTGTAAAAAAAAAAAACTATTTTATGTCTTGTAATCAGGAATATCGCCAACGAAATTAATTTAGACCTCATTCACTACTTTCCATAGCCAAGGCTTTCCCTACCTGGTCCTCCCCTAAATACACAATTCCATTCCCTTTGCACTCTCCACATCCTTCTGCTAAGGGCACTCTTCACCATATTTTAATCTGTGCTTTCGTCTCTCCGTCTCTCCGGGTTTTTAGTGCCTAAAGGGTATTTACTTGACAATGAGAGAAGACTCTCTTAACTGACTTCTACTTGAATGGCACTCTTGACTCAGCCAGATAGGCTAACACTCTCCACTTACTGAGTAAAACATTCTAACTGATGGCCTGGGTGCCCTGAACATGCTCAGCTGGTAGCTATTTACCCATCAACCAATCCAGCTGTGCAGTCTTGGCTTGCATCACGTTTTCCTTCAGTTATTCAAATTCTCCAACCCCAGCCACCGTAAGTGTCTTAGTTACTTATTAGCTAAGTGGCAAGAAATAGGTTTATATCCCCTCTGAGAACCGAGAGCCTGTCCTACTGTCTGCACACAACACAGAGCGGGTAGAACTTGGAAATTAACCCGACACATTCTCACCCGCTCTGAAACCCGGCATTTGTTCTTCCCAAGTGAAGGTATGTTTTTGAAAAACCATCATCCATCCACATTGTGAAGACTCATCCTACCTCACAGTAGGAACTCAACACAGGCTTGGTGTAATGAGTAGAGGGAAAAGGAGTCATCACAGTGTGGGTGGATGATGGCTTTTCAGAAGTCCATGAGGTAGGAGGAGTTCCTTCCTGAGGTTGGGAGTGTGACCAAGATCTACTCTGTCAAGACTGGAGTCAGTAATCTTTCCAACAGCAAATCTGACTAGATCACACTCACTTAAAAGTGGTTTAAAGGTATGCCCAGCACTTCTACTCCCATTAGCTAGGAATATAAACTTGCCGAAAGTCAACTGAGTTAGTCCCTAACCCCGTTTATGCTAGCTGTATTTATCATAATCACATAATTTAATTTAATACTGCAAACACTGACAAATTTACCATAAAAAGAAAGTTATCCCTATGAAAACTACGTTATTTCCATGAAAGACTTAATGAGAGTGATTCCCTAAAAAAAAACTGCTATCAAATTAAGGGTAGTCAAGACAACCAGAAAAGTCAGGAGTGGGATGTAAATAATGTAGAAGTTTCTGGAACTCAGAGAGATTGGCAGTATGTCTTTGAGCAAAATGTCTTTCAAAAGGCAAATCATAGACCAATGCATTGTGATTATAGTTTGCAAGAAAAACAACACAAAACTCCAAACCACAGCTTTGTTTGCAAAGAAAAAGACTTTTCACTACATCAGAAGTTTGGTGAATAAATGTACATATATGTGTTTTGTGTTAAACTAAAATGTTAAGGTACGTGTATGATCTTTATACTTCCTCCTTCAACTACCTTCTTCATTTAACTGACTGAGTACAGGTCTGAATAGGATAAAAGGCTTCCACTACACATGTATTACTATATATATATATATACACACACATATGTGTGTTTATACACCTGTGCCCACTAAGTCCCCATCTGTGAGCGAGGCCCTGGAGACATGCAGTAAGAAATAAATTTGATCACATCCAGGCATGACTGGTGATGATTAAGCACAAACCCCGGAATGGTGAGCTCACTGCAACACAGAGAGCAATGGGAGGCCATGGACCGTGTTTTGCGGTGGATTCTCTTCAAGTCTGGGGAACTGAGGGTATGTACATTACGGCTTGAAGAGGGTGTGCTTAGTGAGTGGAAGGAGGGAGAGGCATGAGTAGGGAGAGGCATGAGTAGGGGGCGTCCTGATGGAGTGTGCCCGAGGGAACAGCACGTGGAAGGGCAGAGAGAGGCACGCACAGCATGTCAAGGAATTTAAGAACGCCAAGGGTAGCGGAGGATGGAGATTACAGGAGGGACAGGAGAGCTGGAATGACCAGGCCCTACAGAGCCCTGTAGCTGTCACGGATCTTGGTCGTCATCCAAAGGCCAGTATGAAGTCATTTTACACATGTCTATGACTTGAGTAGATTTGCTATTGGGAGGATTTCTGACTCCAGACTTGACAGTGTATCTTGCTCACACTCCCAACCTCAGGAAGGAAGGAACTCCTACCTCATGGTAGGAACTCAACACAGGCTCAATGTAATGAGTAGAGGAAAAATGAGTCATCGCATTGTGGATGGATGATGGCTTTTCAGAAACATACCTTCACTCAGGAAGAACAAATGCTGGGTTTCCTAGCAGATGAGAATGTGTCAGGTTAATTTTCAAGCTTCACCCCCTCCGTGTGCCCTCTGCCCCTCGTGTAACTGTGCTGGCATGCAGAGAGTAGGAGGGGTTCTCTGTGCGACAGATGATATAACCTGTTTTTGCCACTTAGCTAATAGATAACTAGATGTTCATGGTGCCTGAGGTTGTAGAATATGAATAACTCAAGGAAAACTTGATTCAAGCCAGCATTGCATAGCTGGATTTTGATTAGATTTAAATAGTTCAATGCAAGCAGAACCCTGCATTTTTTTTCACCTGATGTTTTAAAAGATAAATTTATATAATACTATCCTGTTATTAAAGATGAGTTTTCCCTGGAAAGACTAGATTGGACTATTTTCTAATTTGGGACAGATTTCAGTTATCTGTGTATGTCTGCTCTCCCATTTGACAGTGAGCAAGGAATAGATCTTTATTCATTTTTTATCCCTAGTGCTTGGCATGATGCTCTGAATAGATTTGGCACTTACTCTATGTTTATTAAAGAAATATAAATTAATTATGAACATGATAGGCGAAAACTCTTATGACTCATAGAATGAGTCACACCCTGAGACAGGTGTTGGAACTATAATACCTCTCTAATTCTCCAAGTCCACACACGCACATATGCACACACGTGTGCGCATGCACACACACAGTCACTGTTAAATTGATTGGAATTCTATCCCATTAAAAAGAAAAAGAATGTAAAAGGAAATGGAAAACAATAGATTTTAAAATATTATATTGAATCTGTATTGCACTTTACAGTTCCTGCTGGACTTTTATTCACTCACTCATTCATTCATTCATTCATTCATTCATTCCAGAAATATTTATGTAATGCACACTCTGTGTCAGTTACTGGGCTCAAGAGTGCTCTACTGAAGAGACTGAGGAATCAGCTGGTAACTGTGTTCAAATACTTGAAAAAAATTAAAAATGGCATTTGTTCTACTGCAGAAGGTAAAGTTAGTATTGACGGGCAAAAGTTTTAGCCAACAAGATTTCTGCTGATTATAATGAAAAGAAGTTACATTTCGGTTACTACCTGTAGGATATGTAGAAATTATTCCACTGAACATGAGAAACGTTTTCTTGAAAGCCTTCTCTGACCTCCCAAAGTAGAATATGTCCTGCTGATATATCTTTGAAACACCCCACATTTGCCCAGTCACACAGATCACGCCCT